AGGTTGCCGACCAGAAGCACGATAGGGCCACAGTATGGGGTGCACTCAAGCGATGGCGGTTCGAACAAGGGGCTGTGATGGAATGGGACATGGCCGCCTGCTGTGATGATAGTTGCAGGTGTGGCTAGGGATGACGTATGTGGATGAGGGCGTTGTTGGAAATATAGTCATAGTTCTGCATGTTTTAATTCAGAAATATAGCATAATAAACATGACATGTGAAAACAATGGTAGTTCTAACATAGTGATAAACATGAATATGCTACCAGAAATAATAGCATCTAACAACATATTTAACACTGCTGAGATGACTAGTACAAACCCGGAGAACACTCTAGATCCAGAGGCAATGGTGTTGGTGTTGTCGCCATCGTTGTCGTTGTCGCTCCCTTCTCCTCTGTTGCCGATGCTCTCCTCCAATGCCGCTGCTCCTGGTACTGGTCAACATGTTGCAAAGGGTTGTCGATGTAGAGGAAGCAATGTTGAGAGCATTCACGCAAAGAACGTGCTCCCCAAAAACTTGATCGCCTACCTACCAATGCAGTTACTCAGGTGGATGGTGTTCCAGGGGCATGCTCGTCCTAAGTACCCGTGCGTGCAGGTACTCAAAACCAAGGAGAGATAAAGCTGCACAGAAACAGAAGAATAGAGTGTCTTTCGAGGGAGAACCAAAGAGATGGAACAGAGGAATTAACCCCTCCATATACGCCGAAGATCCCATGCACAGGTGCGGAGTTCCGGAGTCCTGCTCATCTCGAGTACCCATACGGGCAATTACTCAGAACCAGGGAGAGCTGAAGCTACGAAGAAACAAAAAAGCAGAGTATCTTCCGACGAAGAACCGGAGAGATGGAACAGCGGAAGTAATCCCTCTGTCTACCCCAGAGATGGGATATAACAAGACAGACGTGATGGGATTAATCAGTTATGTTTTTCCTCATAAAAAGGTAGCTCGTTCGCATGCACACCACACCTAGCCCGGCACGTGCGTGCGGTGGCATTCCTACCACCACCTCAACCGCTCAACGGATGCTCTCATTTAGCATCCTATTTAAGTTGAGATCCTTTCTCATTGATTTCTAATGTGGTATTAAACTCTTAACTTTAATTGTAGGCCCTTGGAATTGCTAGGATTAATTTGGGCCTAGCCCATTTAATTCTAACAATCCCAACCGAATTTCAAGGCTCAATGTTATCGGTTTTGTTTATGTTTGTTATACCAGTGTTTCAGTAGAGACTGTTAAGTTGAACTTCCACCTAGAAAAGCGGCTACTCCTGACCACAACTGAACATGGACTATACCTTAAATTGTCAGTCTTGTGCAGTCAAGCTTTACCCAATTCCTTAACCGATACTAGGTTGTCGATAGCATCCCCTTTGTTTGGAGTGTATAAATCATACTCCAAGAATTTTCATGAGTATCTAGAGATTATCCAAATCTTATATAGTGTGACTAGCAGTCGGACTCATATAGGTGTGTTATTTCTCAGATGTTCTGTAGGTTAACATCTCTGCTTTAAGAAAAACTAGTCAGGTCATATTAAGGTATGCACCAACCTACCATACAGACAAGGAGAAAAGTACATCAAAGAAATGAGTCTTTTTAAGGGTCTCTCCCCCAGCCACCCAATAGCTTGTTTCACCATCCTAATTCATGGGATCCCCGATCACATAGGACAGGACACCACTATTGTGTAACTCAAGTGAGTTTCAAGCCCATCTCACTCAATGCACTGTCCATCACATTACGCGATATGCCCTTAGTGCACTGATCTACCAAATTTTTAGCAGTTTAGATATAGTCCAATGCTATCACTCTAGAGTTTTTCAGCTTTCTTATAGAATTCAGTTGTCTCTTTACGTGCCTAAATTATTACATGTTGTCTTTCGAACTGTTCACCTTAGTAATCAACGTTTGATTATCAAAGTTCATTAGGATAGTCGGAACTGGTATTTCAACCGCTAGCAAATCCATCAGGAGCTCACGAAGCCATTCAGCATCAACAGTGGCAGTGTCTAATGCTGTCAGTTATGCTTCTATTGTTGACCTCGTTAAGATGGTCTCCTTGCAAGACTTCTAGGAAATAGCGCCACCTCCTAGTGTGAACACACATTCACTTGTGGTTTTTATCTCATCCACATCAGACATCCAATTTGAATCACTATAGCCCTCCAGTACTTTTGTATACCCAGCATAGTGAATTTCATAGGTCACAGTGCCTTTAGATAGCGCAATACTCATTCCAGAGTACGCCAGTGATCATCTCCTGGATTTGAAACAAACTGGCTCAACTTTCTCACAGCAAATGAGATGTCAAGTCTCATTGCACTAACCAAATACATTAGTGAACCAATGATTTGAGAGTATCTCAATTGATCTCTTGTTATTCTTCGGTTTTTCCTTAATAACACAATAGGATCAAAAGGAGTAGGAGTTGGCTTGCAGTCACTATAACCAAAGAGACTCAACACTTTGTCCACATAGTGGGATTGTGGGAGTGTAACCCCACCATCATCTCCCCTCAGTAGCTTAATGTTAAGAATAACATCAAACACCCCTAAGGCCCTGTTTGGTAGGGCTCCAAACTCCAACTCCTAGCTCCAAACTCCCACTCCAGTGGGAGCTAGAGGTCATATGAAAAGAGTTTGGCTACCTTGCTTAGCTCCAGAACTCTTGAAACAGAGGATGGGGGGAGGTTGACAATAGTACCCATGTGGTTTTTGCCGTTTTCTTGATGTATGACTGATAATTGTTTATTTTTCTTTAGAATTAAAGCAACATAATTGTGAGGTTAAAAATAATTGACATAATTAGCAAAAGCACCCTATTGTTCTCTTGGTTCAGATGTGAAATTTGTATGATAGTCTACCATTTTGTTCTCATTTCAATTTGTATAAGCACATGATAATTTTTCACATCTACATAGTTCATATACAAAAAAGAATCACCCACAACATACATGCAAAATCGCCCTATTGTTATTTTGGTCCAGATCTGAAACTAAAAAAAAATGGAAAAAGGGTTGAGGGGATTACATGCTCGTTGCCTTAGCCGCTAGCCATGCACCACCTAACCGCCGCCAAGCCGCCACCGTCGGCCTGTTGCCCGCCCGAGCGCTGTCGTCATCCTGCTACCCGCCGGCAGCTCCGCTAAGCCGCCACCGAAACGCCGCAGTCAGCCTGCTGCTCACCACCTGTTCGCCTGTCGCCGCTTGGCTCGGTGGCTGGGAGGGTTACGGGAGTGAGAGGTGAGGAGGTGTGTTGGGATAGGTCAGTGGTAGTTTTGCACAAATATGTTGAAAAATTAAAAGGTATTGGGTCTTTTGGATAGAGTGGAGCTGTGGAGTAGCAAAACTCCATCACCACCCCCCTAGTTCATTTTTATAGGAGCAACTCTGCTAACTCTACTCCAAAAATACGAAGGATCTGGACCATTTGGCACAGCTCCGGCTCTAGGTAAGTTGGAGTTGGGAGCTAGAGTTGTGCCAAACAGGCCCCAAATATGTCATCTCAAAGCTTTGGGATAGAAAGTCCTTGACCTCCTCAATCACATTGAGACTGGTCCCAAAAATCAGCATGCCATTGAAATATAAGCACAAGATCACTCCTTCTCCCTCACCATAGCGGTAGTACACGCATTTGTCAGTTTAGATAGTGGATGTCAGAGTTCTGTCGAACTTTCTCATGCCACTGCTTAGTTGTTTGCTTAAGGCTATATAAAGACTAGAACAACTTGCACACCATTTCCTCTTGACCTTCTAATACAAACATGTCTAGTTGATCCATGTAAATATCCTCCTCCAACTCCTCATTAAGGAAAGATGTTTTAATGCCCATCTAATTAAAAAAGAAGACCATGAGAGGTTGCTAGAGCAAGTAGTATTCGAATCGTGGTCAACAGAGCAACTGGTGAATTAGTATCGAAAAATCCGCATATTCTTTTTGGGTATAACCCTTGGCCACAAATCTTGCCTTGTACTTTTCAATTGTAGCATCAGGCCTAAGTTTTTTTCTTGAAAACCCATTTGCATCCTACTTTGCACCTGTCAAGACGTTCAACGACTTTCCAAGTATCACTAGACATAATTGAATCCATCTCACTGTAAAGCTTCCTTCAATAGTCAACGTCAGCACATAATGTCTCTTCAATGGTTATTGGAGTGTCATCCACAAGGTATACAATGTAGTTATCACTAAAAAACTTTGCAGTCATTTGTCTCTCGCTCCTTCAAGTGGCTACAGTGTTATTTTCCTCAGGATTTTTCACAGGCGTCTGTTCATCGTGTTCTATCGGCACAAAAGAATCAAAGGGTAAAATGGGTTCTTCACTAGAAGTGCTAGGTGCATCTTTCATGTGAAATTCATTTTCAAAAAAGTAGCATCTCTGAACTCAAAAAATTGTTCCAACACGTATGTCAAGTATTCCATTTTAGATCTCGTATGCTACTTCTTTTCTTATTGCCAATTTCAAGAATCGACAAGTTGATTTTTGTTTACTACTACTTGTGACAGCTGCTCATCTCAGAATTTTTTCCCCTGTGGATTTGTGTACAGCCAACATTAAACCACAAGTGGCACACAAATAAACCATGCATCGATTCACCTGCAAGCTTTTAAATTTGGATGGGGCACCAAATTGTTGCAATGACTTGTCACTGTTCTCGGTTAACATCTGGTTTTGTGATTGGAGATACTATAACAGCAGGCATAATAGTAGACTGTAAATCAGCTATAAACACATGTCGGCATAATAGTAGACTTTAAATCAGCTATAAACACATGTCGAGAAAATAAAAGAGAAGAGAAAAGAACATCAGACTACATATTTGTAGCCAGCTGCAGCATAAACTCCAAAACACAATGTATGTATGACAGGTAGAATCATATATTAATATTGTATAGTATATGTTCGTAGATAACTATCATATGAATTAATTATAGATAAATTAGAATTAGTAGTTGGCTATACTATTAAATTTGCTATAATAAGTAAACCCAAATGGTACCAACAGCTTTATAGTATTTCTCAAAACCTGTGCCCAAGTATACAATAACACCTCTCAGTCAGATGCGCGTTCTACAGTTCTACCCCTAGACCCTGTAAATAATCCATCTTTAGGTCAACTGCAATGAACACCGACGCATCGAGGGCGGTGGCACTGTGGCAGTAAACAGCTGGTTAATCATTTCTTAAACCCTGAGCCCCGGAATCAACAGGACCCCAGATCACCTCTTCTGTATGTAACCTCCTGCGAATTTGACCCTCTTGTTCCATGATCCGAGATCAGAGAGATTGCGACTGAGACTTCAGTAATTAACCCCTAAGCATGTTCTATGCTTAACTTTGAAAGTTAAAAGCTTGTCAAGATTGCTGCAAGCTTTTGCTTCTTGATGCCGGTGCTTCCGATAGGACGGTTTTTATGTACGCCGAGGACGCCGCCGTTGATCTGTGCCGCGACGCACGCTGCCCAATCACCGATCCGTTTCTCCCGTTAGAAGTTGGAGGCGTCGTCGTTTTGCTGCTGCCACGCCGTGGTGGTGCCCCAGCGACCAAACGCCCAGGCGGGCGCTCTGCTGCAATGCTCACGAAAGCCAACAAAAATTGTTACAGTGAACGTAAAAAGACCACAAAAGTAATTTGATTCGATCCAAGATGTACTAAAATTCAATTCAAGTTGACTTAAATTCAATTCTAGTTCTAAAATCAAGCAAAAAAGAAAGATAAAACAAAGGGAGAGGCGATGCAACGCACCTTCATGCCCAATGCTCCACCGGCGGTGGCGGAACCGCTTGAGGACGCCGCCGAGAGCGACGTCAAGCGCGTCGTCCATGCCGTCGCCGAGGCCGTCGGGCGACGAGCCGTACACCAGCCTGGGTATCATCTCCACCACGCGCTCCCGCATCCGCCGCACCCGCCGCTCGCTGTACCCTTCCAGCACGTCCCGCACGCTCACGTTGCCCACCCGCAGCGCCCGCCGGTCGATGAACACCGACCACTCCCCCTCCTCGCCGCGCGGCAGGAACCACCGGTACGCGTCGTACGCCGTCCTCCGCCAGAACAGCACCGGCACGGCGCCGGCCACCATGCAGTCGAACAGGGACCGCCGCGTGAAGCTGTCCCCGCGCGGCTGCAGGCAGAAGCGGGACCCCATGAACAGCCTCATCACCGCCGCGCCGTCGTCGTTGCACCGCGTGCCCCGGCAGTCCACGGCGCGGCAGCGGTCGCTCCCGGCGTCCTCGCACTCCTCCAGCAGCACGTCCCTGAAGTCGTCCGGGAACCCGGAACGCGGCGCGCCGGCGAACCCGAACAGGTTGCGGCGGTCCAGGGACAGCACGTGCTCCTGCCACGCGCGGACGTCGGCGGCGCGCCGCGGGTGGAACCCCGTCGGGTAAGGGACGCCGACGTCGAGCGGGTCGAGGCGGTCGCCCTCGATGACGAGGCGGGTGACGTTCTCCATCCCGGGCATGAGCACCAGGTTGGTGCCCCACCCGTCGGCGCCGTACCGGCGGAAGTCCCACGTGATGCGCCCGAGCGTGATGAAGTGGTCCCACCCGCCGGACTTGGCGAAGAACGGCTGCCCCCTGAGCCACCGGAGGAGCCGCGCGCCGGCGCGGTCGCGGTCGGCGACGGTGCTGTTCGGGCCCCACAGGTGGCTGCCGACGTCGAGGCCCGCGTAGAACGGCACGTAGAACGCGGTGGCGAGCGACGCGTCGATGGTGCGGCACCGGTGGGACAGAAGGCGGCGGTGGACGATGACCTCGAGCGGGAACTGGTCGGTGTTGTACCAGTTGGGCAGCGACGCGTTCGGCACGACGGCGGAGAGCGCCGGTACCTCGGCGGCGGGCCGGCCGAGGCCGCCATTGGAGAGGTAGGGGCAGAAGGAGTACCACGGCCACAGGCGGTCGCAGTGGGCGACGAGGTCGTGGTTGAACTCCGGCGGGAGGTCGTAGACGTAGATGAGCCCGGCCTTGCACTCCTCGGCGTCGTCCACGGCGCCGTTGGCCCAGGTGCTGTTGCTGCGGCGCGGCGCCGGCAGGAACCGGGAGCTCGGGAACGTGAGGAGGGACTTGAAGAGCACGAGCTGGAGGGCTAGGAAGGCGGCGAACAGCACGGTGGCTCGCAGAAACGCCGACACCGGGGACGGCGGCGTGGCATTATTGGTGGGCGATCCCGGCAGCGGCGAGGTGGGTGGCGATGTCGGTGACTCCGGCATTGGGAGGTAGAGGTACTAGCTTGAAGGGGGAGGCAGTGTCAGTGTCAGCGGCCAGTGGTAAGCAAGAATTTTTCATCACTGTCGTTGGGAGACGACTTAAGGATGGTATCGGTTGTTTACTGAGGACGGTGTGGAAAAAAGCAGGGATGGCACGTGGAGAGAGGGTTGATAAAACTACGTGCATTCCCGTAAGAGGAGTGGATCCAAAGCAACGTATCGAGGCGAGGATCCTCTACCGTAATGCTACTATCATTACCGTGAGTAATACGTGGTCTATCTTTCTATTGTCTCACATGTGTGTAATGGTAGTGCAATTAAGATAAAGAATGTGAACCCATTCGAGACCAAATAATCAGGTGTTGCAAATGATTATTATGAGATAAATTAGACGCGGAACTAGAGTTCCTTAGGATATGTTCTGTGTTCAGTGTCAAAATGAACATTTCTAAAATTTGGCAATGCCGAGATTTTAACAAGTTGATAACATTAAAGTGTTGATAGAATAGGCTAAATATGTTGTCAAAATTTCTTAGGCATTATCAGTGTTTGATAATGAATTAAGTACATATATGTGTTTATCAATTTTTTAAAAAATATATGGTTTAAAATGAAAACATGATAAATGTGCCAGCGAGCGGCAAGAGGAGCATCCAGTAAAATTGAATCTGTTGGTGTCCTTGAAAGTAGAGTCTTCGATTCTCTCTCAGGAGTCGGGACGGGTGATACTGCCCGTTGCTGTGTTGCTACTTGCTACGGAGTAAGCACGGAGCGAAGGCTTGGATTGCGTCCAGCATCCGCTCACACAAATTTCGAGCCCAAGATATAGGTACCAGTAGTGCAAACTGCAAACATTGGAGCTACCACTCGTTGCCTGCCCGGCTGGGACAAATAAACCACTGCTTACGATTATAAATGGCCGCGACATGGACATGGACACATGGAAGTTGGGAGCGCATATAAGACTGCGAGGTTCACGATAACTCATCAGTCATTCAAGTGGTGAATTTTGTTGTCCCACTTCTCAAATCAAACAGGCTGTAACGTCATGGGAATGGAGAAGGTTTAATTCAAAAAATAGGGGATCCCCTAGGAATTAGGCAAAACTCAGTGGTATTAAGATAAGAAGACCAATAACTCAAAACGCACATAAGAAATTTTGTAATTAAACAACCAAATCAGAGAAGCCATGGCAGGTTGTAAATTCTCTCACCCACGTGATACGCTTCTCCTTCACCAATACCCAAGTTGAATTCAGACCAAAACGAGTAAAGAAACGTAGGCCAAGGCCCAATTGACACATGAACGATTAATCATCCGATGGCCACTGTTAGCCTCATAAGTCATAACCTCTGCTAGCCCACTGTTGCAAGGGGTTTAGTAGCATAAGCATGTTCAAGGTGAGCTCTATTCAAAAACATAACTTGGAAGCTATCCATTGCAAACAACAGTGCAATCTTCCTCTTTCCAATAGTCCAAATCACAAGAAATACGGGCATTGATTGATGTTTCCCGAGAAATTAGAAATTCAGAGCACAGAAGAGACGCAGAATTTCAGGCCTCAAAACAGACATCGACGAATCTCAGGGAACTTCCTATGGACAGAAGAACGACACAAGATGGTGTACTATCATCACTTCTTTTTCTTGCCACCTTTCCCCTTTGAAGTCCCTGCAGTTGAAGAAGCTGCTGGTTCCTGCTTCTTAGTCCTGCCATGATGCTTGGGGACTAGCTCCGCGATTTGGATCATCAGCTGCTTCTCTGTAACATTAGATTCTTGTGTCAGTAACAATGTGGGATAGAAAGAACATAAAGCATGTCCAACATTCATCATGGTGATTATCTTGTTGCACTATAAGACTTCAACAGTGTACAGCCAACAATGGAAGTAACTAGGTGAAATCCTAGTTAAGAGTATTTCAGCATTAAAATGGCAGGAAAAGAAAAGGAAATAGGTTTCTTAAGTGATTGGAATAACACTAAAGGTACCCTCTGTACTATACTGAAAAAGGAAAAGAGGAAATAAGAACTTTTACAGTGAGAAGTGACATAGAAGGTGTTAAAACAAAATGCAGAATAACATTAAGTTCTAGTGTATAGCACTACAGCAGCAACATGTTTCCACCAACCTCTCAAAACTTCATGTACAAGAACATTGTTCACCCTACCATGGGATAAGAGTTAGAGCATATTTCCTTGTTATCTATTGGTTGAATTTGTCAGGATGCCCTATTTTAAGGAGAGTTCTCATCTATTTTGACTTTTTGAGTTAATAAACAAGTTGAATTACTCAAAGTTACTCTCCATAGTCCAGTCCCTCTCTACCCCAATTGGCAACTCTCCTGTAAGCATCTTTTCAACCCAAAACCCATTGCCACCAGTCACTTTTCCATGGTGCTTATCATGATGAACTAAAGAGGTCAGACACATCGATACACCAACATTAAACAGTCACAAAAGGAGTTTAGATCAAAACTACAGAGTTTCCTCCAATGTAGTGGACGCCGTTTTCTCCAAATTTCCTCAAATGCACTTGGCAAAAACCAAACCAATTATTCAGATAACAACAAAATTACCATGGAGCTGGCTACGACGACTACAATTTCATTACTGTTGCATAGGCATGATCTAACATAGTTAGACTTCACATAATCAACTTGCACTACATGTCATGACCCGAGGCCATGACGGGATAAACACCGCCGGGAAGATAGCCGGGCGGCGTCAGCTCCTGGAGAAGGGATGTAGATTTAGGCTAGGGAGAAGAACATTGTTGGGAGGGAGAGATTAGACTAATTGATATTCATTGCTTAATGGACACAATCCCATCCTTATATAGAGAGTACAACTTGACCCCTAAGTAAGAACTTAATCTTATCTTATCTCTAACTAACTAATAATCTTATCTCTAACTTAACCGGTATGGGCTGTCCATGGGCCATGGCCTTATGGTCCAATGCCCATGACACTACAATACAGCATTAACCTTGCACTGAAAATTATTGTCTCCAAAAGGATGAAATACAAAAAAACTCAGACAGTCATAGTACCACAGCAGTAGGTCCATAGTACCTGGTATGTGCTCTACAGAAGGTAAGAGATGCATTTTGCCAAACCCTTTAAAGCCATGACAAAACCAATTTTAGAACTTGTGACTGTGAGGGATAGAATTTGCCTTCTAATCTAAGTTAACACTGTGCATTGTAACAAAATTTATTGTCTATTGTTTCATTCAAGCAACATAACCAACTCTCGAACCAGTAGAATCTGCAGAGAGGCAGATGACAGCATTACCTATCTTACTATATCTTCTCTAAAAATTTTCATTACGTTTGATAAGATTTTATTTAGGGCTGGATGCATCCAACTTTAGTTGCTCCTGAGAACAGCAAACCTCGTCTTAAGAAAATTCAACTTTAGTGGTTTATGGAAACTTCACGCCAAAATGATATGACTTCTGGCAACTGGGTGCAAAAAAACAATCGTATTTAAAAATCCTCATGATTGTGTGTGACCTACACTGAGAAGACTTGTGATCAACATTCAAAGTCAGCCAAGAGAATAATGGGAAAAGACATGAACCTTCTTCTCCTTCTTTTTTTTTTTTTTGCAAGGAAAGACATGAACTTAAAAGTATGCCAAGAGAAGGATGGCAAAAGACATGGCCAGAACATAGAGTAGAGCATAATATATGGCAAAACGCAACTCATGCCACATGTAAGTACTTTGAAGAAAAAATATATTATGATGCATGTTCACATCCTAGTTCAACATGGTGATTAACTCTGCTTAACCATTCTTAACTCTTTTAATGTGCAGACATATAGTTCAACTAAACCCATTTCTTTACTTGCTCCTAAGTCATCACTTTTCATAACAAGTTAGTTATTAAGGTGACTATTGAGGATATACGATACTACTTGTTAATGAAATGCAAATCGACATGAGGGTGCTGGAACAAACTAGCAACATAAACTCATGTAGAAGATTCATTTATGAATTTGGTTGTTAACTGAAAGAAACTATCAGCAGAATACTAGTACAACAGAACATTAAAAAATATATATGAATATTAAATGGCCAGTCACTGATTCTGCATTTGATTTTTACGCCTTATCTAGCAGTAACTACAAAGCTGAAAATATCCTAAACTAATTGTAGAATATCCTAGACTAATTGTAGATCCGGTGCCTTCATCTATTGACCAATACAGTAAATCATGAAATGGTACAGCAAGAAATTCAAGCTAATCGTATCTATGTGAGCCATAAGGTGACAGACTAGACCAAACTAACATGACCAACTAGGCAAGGCAACTACCATTGCAAGGCATCATACATTTGGTTCTGTTCATTCTAGAATGGGTTTACTCCTTGCTATTAATTTAGAAGTGTAGTGGCATTCAAAGGACTACTGTTACAGAAGAACTAATATTGTGCTATTTATGATGATTTGAATCATGGGTGAACTAAACTCAGCTGCAGAATAGCTCAGTGATGCCACAAGAAGAAATGTAGCAACAGAAAGTAGCAGATGAAGTGAGGATGGCACATCTAACGAATTTGTTATTCTTCTGCAATTCATGTTTCGTTTCTTCTCAATAAGCAGATTTGCGCTAATAACATCTGGAAAATATTGTATGGGCTAGGAATCACATTGGACAAAAAAATTCAAGCGTCTTCTAACTGATAAGAGTGTGACCTTTTTACCAGAACCTATGATTAGTGCCATTGAAAGGACTTCTTACAAGACGCCCTCTAACAAATGATTCAATAAAAGCAGGAACAATTTGAAAATAAAAGCATTGGCCCATCTCATGTGTAAACTTGTCTGCTCTAGTATCCGCAATAATAGTCGAACGGGAATTAAACCCTGAGCTCTATTCAGTCATAAGCATAGTGACTAGTTCCATTCACCAAGACTGCTTCCAGAAAAAAAAAAGTTCCCAGTGCTTACTTGTTTTGATTGCAGGATTGACTGGGGAGCCGTCATCCTTCTTGAGCTGCACTCTCACCCTTCCCACCTGGAAGAAATCTCGTGGATACGCCTTATCCAACTACGCACAAGATGAGAACTTCAAACATGAGCACATAGACAAATCGAAGGAAGAAACAAAGGGAACAGGCAATCCCAAACCGATAAATCTGAAAAAGAAAAGGAGAAAGATGGGGGATACTTCGATGGCGTGAGGGATCTTGAGGTGGGAGCAGCAATCGGCGATCTCGACGCAGGTGGGGTCGGGGCAGGCCTTGCCGGAGGCGATGCGGCGGCCCTCGGCGACCGTCTTCTTGGAGTTGAGGTACACCGGGTAGATGACGTTCCACTTCTTGATGCTGCTCCTCAGGTCGCCGCCGTCCATCTCCGCGCGATTCCGGTCGAGCGCCGCGCAGATCAGATCCTGGTCCAAGAAGCAAAGAGGGAGCAGAGGACTCGGAGGTTAATTCGGTTTCTTTGGTCGCGGAGGGATGAATCTCGTCCCCGGATTAGGGCTCGAGGGTCTATAGACATGGAAGGGAGGTTTGATGCGTCATGCGTACCGGGGATGGACTTTCGAGTTTCGACCCAAGCAAGAGGTTGACGAGCTTCCGACTTTCAGAGTCGAAGGCAATGACAGGGAAACAGGGACTAAATATTTGAGGAAATTTTATTAAGTAAATTTCAGAAAACTGCATGTTTAGTGATAAAATTATCAGTTTGCTATAACATTAGCGACATGTTTCAATTTGATGTAACAATAGCGTGGAAAATTATCACAAACTGCAATTTTTACGTTATATGCTGCTATAGTACAGCTACAGTTTTCTGAAATTTACTCAATTTTATTTTAGGTCACTTTTTTATTATCAAAGTTTCGCTTTGTATCATTTATTGTTCACCGATGTTTTTATTTTAGATCGGTAAATCTTATCTTTGATGTACTTTACATCATCATAAGTGTCTTCTTAAGCATACAAACGATTTCAATTTAGATTTTGCCTAGAGTTAAAACTCATTAATAAATTTAGATATTCTCGAAAAGTTATCCTACGAGACAAATGTGACACTTTGGTAGAGATGTGAACATAAATCCACCAAACCTATTTATGAATATACTATATTCAATAGTTCTGGATTGTAACGGGAATTCCAATTAGGTGGCACTCCCTCCATTCCATATTATAAACATTTTGGTCTCTCTATCTTTTATCTATATTCACTAACATTCATATAAATATGTGTATATATACATATATATGTGTATATATACACATATATATATGTATATATATATACACACACATATATATATATATAGCATATACATAGATCCATATATGAATCTATTCAAAACCAAAAATATGAAACAAGGGAAGTAGTTCCAAAGAGATGTCCTGGTAAGTGTGGAATCGTGATGCTAAGTTGTAACGTCCGCCTCTCCCAGGCCGAGCCCGCTTACATCTGGTAGCTTTCACTCATGCGCACTCGGAAAGATTTTCCCGATCGGTTACCCATCCCTAAATTGCTCCAGGCCAAGCACTCTTAACCTCAGAGTTCTTTAGAGATCGGCTTTCCGAAAAAGAAGTTGCAACTTGTTGATATGAGTATTCTATTAATCATATTAAGCCCTAAACCGGGATGTCACATAAGTCTTATGAAAACTGAAAGTTTCGGTTGGGACTGACTTTTCCAAGTTTGGTCCTCTATTGGCTTTAAAGGTCACCTAGAAATTCTAATTTGATCTAGAATATCCTATCAAAATATATTGAGAAATTCCAATTAACCTACTAAAAATTCCAAGTTAGAGTTATCTATATGAGCTTAGCGTGACAAAGTAAAAATTCTGATTGAAAATGAAAATTTTGGATTGTTCGACTATATGAGTAATAGGTAGTACTTGGTGGTGGAGTGTTCACCCCCCCCCCCCCCCTCGTCTTTTGAGAAGTTGATGCTCCGTAAGCTGAAAGAAGATTTCTAGAGCCTCTACAGCTCCCTCCGATCCATCTTTGTAGAGACTTGACTAAAAACTAGCGAGTTAAGTGACAGATTGAGAGTGGTTAGTACAATAAGGTTGCAAATTTGTAAGTAGAGATACCATACATAGCTAAGGGTGAGACTGGTAACAAGTGCAAAGGAGGGAAGAGAGCATACCAGCTATCAAAGTAGGTGGTCAGTGCATCTTGTGGAGATAACGACGACGGTGATTTCATATCAAAAGTACGAGGTTATTAGCAAAAGTGTGTTGTTGGGATTAAAAATGAGCTAACTCGCAAGTTACTTGTGAGCCAAATGAGGCAAGGCAAGCATGCCAGCAGCTAGGGGTGAAAGCGGTACAAAAACTTTCCGGATTCCTGACCTATTTTCGTAAACGGAATCTGTCGGTCGAAATTTTTCGGAAACGGAAACGAATTCGGAAATATTTTCTCAGAAACGGAATCGAAAATGATAAAGCCAGTTTCCGTCGGAACTCGGAATCGGTCGGACTTTCCGGAAATTTTGTGACTGAAATACCCTGTATTCTTTTTTTAGGCACTGAATAGTGCATACCATGGTGTTTGGTTGCTATTTTTTTAAAAAAAATTGATCTAGAGTTACATAAAACATTTTTTTCATGCATTGGTATTTATCAATAGCATTACTCTCTTAAACAGATAATTTATTCCATAGACTGTGTTTTGTGATGTACTGTTGAGACTTAACAATTGGACTTATATGATTGTGTTTTATGATGAATTGTTGAACCTTGACTTGAGAATTGGATTGGTCAGTTTGAGGGGTTTTTGTATTCCGATAATTTTTTGTTACCGTATTCGCGCCGGTTTATTTTCGCTCCGTTTTCGGTTTCGATGGTATTCGATTCTGTTTTCGTATCCGGAGTTTCCGATTCCCCCCAAAAAATGAAAACGGAAACGACAAAGGTGGTTTCCATACCGTTTTCACCCCTACCAGCAACCCAAGCTAGGCATAGGTGCATAGCAAACCAGCACAACAACCAACAACACATCATGCTAACAAGGCTCATCAATTATCATCCCCTTCATCCACTGTCCACCTAAGCATAGCGGCACCAACCTAATCATGGCTCGGCAACGCCACCCCCAACCTGGTCCTCGATGAAGCTAGAACAAAATGTAGAGGGGATGCCACTCTCTTGCTTTATTTTAGGCTGATACAGTTGTCTAAGTATAGACAAAATCGCATATATGGTGAAAATTTGACTCCTGGTTGAAATTTCTAAATCGGGTCAGGCTCGAGTTGACAAATTTCATGAGCCAAACAAGACTCATTAGGATAGCTAACGAGTCAGCCCGTGTGGAGTCAAGTTTGGTCCATATCCAACCTAATTCTAAGTGAATGTTCTAAACATTAATTTAACACCAAACTATAATTCTATGAGCTGCTAAATGATTTTAAAATAAAAATCAAATAAACATGCGCTACAATATTTCTCGTCTCGCGTGCATAGTTATTAGAACCGGACCGGACCGGCGGTTCGACCGAAAAAATCCGGAACCAGGGCTCCCGCCGGTCTGGTCCCCTTAAAAGATCGGGCATACAATCGGACCGGAGAAAACCGGTTAACTCGAGTGGTTTTTATATAAACCGGAGATTAACCGGGCTAGTTGAATTGGGAAGGATTTGTTAATGGGCTGAGATGAGGAGTTAATGGGCCGAGATGAGGACCCAACTAGATGCCTCCAATGCATGCGCACGCAAAATTCCCAAGAAAATTGGTGGAGATGCGCGTTAGCCAAGCCACCATCCTGCCGCTTGTGCTACTATATAAACACTCATTCTATATTACTTATCGGACCGCGGTCATTCTCCGATCCGGTCTTAATAACTATACTCGTGTGCTGTAGGCTATAGCAGGATTCGTTTTCTACTCCATACGATTTGCACACGTACTCCATACGATTTGCTTGTCGTGGACGCAGCAGACCTACCACGGAACTCTCGTCGTCCACCCCACCCCACCCCACCGCCCGTGTCCATGTGGGCCACGGTTATCTGCTAGAGAGCCCCGTCCGGACACGCCATCCTCCTAAGCCCATCTCGGCCGTCGATCTCCCTCCAACCCTAGATCGGACGACCAGAAACCGCCTCCCCTTCTCGCCGTCCGCTTCCACACCCGCCCCTATATACTCCCAGCCGCAGCCCAACGCGGCCCAGAAAAACCGCATCCCGCAACTCCACCGCTCCCAATCTCGATCGAAACGCGAGGGTTTCGCATCTCCGCCGACGCCTAGAGGAAGAAGGGATCCGCCGCCGGTAGCCAAGCCATGCCGAAGAACAAGGGTAAGGGAGGGAAGAACCGCAAGAGGGGTAAGAACGAGGCCGACGACGACAAGCGCGAGCTGGTGTTCAAGGAGGACGGGCAGGAGTACGCCCAGGTGACGCGGATGCTCGGCAACGGCCGCTGCGAGGCCATCTGCGTCGACGGCACCAAGCGCCTCTGCCACATCCGCGGCAAGATGCACAAGAAGGTGTGGATCGCCGCCGGGGACATCATCCTCGTCGGCCTCCGCGACTACCAGGACGACAAGGCCGACGTCATCCTCAAGTACATGAACGACGAGGCCCGCCTCCTCAAGGCCTACGGCGAGCTCCCCGACACCCTCAGGCTCAACGAGGGCGTCGACGTCGACGGGCCCGAGGACGGCGGCGACCACGACGACTACATCCAGTTCGAGGACGAGGACATCGACAAGATCTAAGCTCTTTTCTTCTTTCTCCGCAGCTACAATTTACTGCTATGTTCTAATTAATAGCTATGTGTGGTACTATGTGGGCTGGCTGTTATGGATTGTTTGGTTGCCGGTTTCATCTTGTGATATGAGATATTTGTCATGGTTTGAGGTGGTTAAATAATTGTTGGATTCCGTAACTTTAATCTGGTATACATGATGGTTATGCGTAATTGGGATGACCTGCTGTTCTCTGATTGGTTCTTCCTAGATTAGCATCCTGTTCTCTGGTAGTCTGATTGGTTGATTTCTTCTTAGATTGACATCCTGTTCTTTGGTAGTCTGATTGGTTGAGTTCTTCCTAGATTGGCATCCTGTTCTCTGGTAGTCTGATCGATTGATTTCTTCTTAGATTGTCCATAATTGAAGGTCTTGAAGGCTTTGCTCCAATAATTTGAAATTATATTTCTTATACCTGATAGATATCTTATTTTTCTATAACAAACATGATTCAATTGCAAACTACTCAAACGTTGTTTCTCTTACCATACGACTTTGTAATTGCAAACTGCTCAAATGTTGTTTCTCTTTCCATATGAGTTTGTGGGTTTCAGGTTAGTTCAATGTTTGCTGATTATCTTAGGATTAATCTGCTACAAGATGTAGCAATTGAATTTATAGTGACGGGCCTTACTTCCCTGAGATAACAAAGAATTGCGTGTCAATCAGCATTGAATTGATAGTGTTTATTGATTGTCTCCATCACAACGTTCTTGTGTTCACAGTTTTTTGACACGCGAAGGCTTGTGATTTCTCTGAGAATTGTTGAAATGTTACATGTGTTTCATTTGTTTGTGTACTAATGTGTTTTGTGGTGAAAGATGATTTTACTCGTATCTTTGTGCTAAATACAGCAACCCATTGATCTGTTTACCCTAAATTCCTTCAATGCTGTTGCAACTTGCAACTAATGTCGCTAAGTTCCTTCATTGTTGATGTCACAATTTGTCTTGGTTTTGTTAGCTTGTGCTTTGTCGGCCTAGCTGGGTTGTCGAGTATAAATTTGGCTCGATTTTGGTCTAAGATGATAATCTTCTACATGGTATTACTGTCCTTTTGTTCTGCACTTCTGCTGCTGGGCTAAGAATAGGATTGGCTATTCAATCAAAAGAATTGTTATACTGGAAATAATTTGGGGGTGCAAGGTACTTCTGGCATCGACCTCTGGACATCTGACAAGATGTAAACTACCTGAATTACATATTCTTTCCAAATATAATATGCTATCTTTTTATAGCAGGCTGCCTACTGATCTGCTGCCAGTTTTAGATGTGATGCGATATATATGCTGTAAATAGTTCATTGAATTTCTGATTTGTGCTTTATATATGTCCAAACCCACAAATATCCAATATACTATCTCTGTGTGCTTGATATATACCACTCTCCGTTTTAGGTTATAAGGTGTTTTAGTTATAATATGTTTTGATTTTGGTTAAAGTTAAACTGCTTTAACTTTGACTAAGTTTAACTTTGACTAAGTTTGTAGAAAATAGTAGTAACATTTTCAACCTAAATTTATTATGAAAATATATTCAATTATTGATTTGATGAAACTAATTTAGTATTGTAAATATTATTATATTTTTCTATAAATTTAGTTAAATTTGAAGCAGTGTGATGTTGACTAAAGTTAAAACGTTTTATAATCTGAAACGGAGAGAGTAAAAAATAAACTTAACTTGAAAACTAACTTCACGAGAAGAGTGAAAAATAAGACTGAATAGGTCGAGCGATGAGAACAGGGAGCACATCACTGAAATTGAAGTTTATGTCAGGTTCATGGCTAAATAAAAAAAGAAGAAGAAGCAGAAGACCATCTCCATGCAGGCACAAAATAAAATATTTCATAAACAACTAAAACAAGGATTAGTTTCAGTCCTTAACACGCATGGCCTACCATCCCAAACCTTTGCAGGGTCAACCCTATCTGCAAAGTGTAGAGGTTCTTTAGATTGTAACTAAAATAAACATTAACAAATTTTAGTGCTAAAATTTTGATAATTTAGCAATATTATTAAGTATTTTTAGATTTTTTATGCATTTACCAAAGTTCGATTAAATACTAAATGGATGCATATTTTCAGCAATTTTACTGAACAATGATATAGTTTGAAATGAGATCAATTTAAACAACTCCGTAGTACCCTTCTACCTTTCATATTACATGACCCGCGGAACTTCTAAAACTTAATTCAACCTCAAATAAGACTTGATTCAACCTCAAATAAGGTACACTCCTTATATTGACTTGCTGATATTTTAAAAAGATTAGAAATTAAGGACAAATTTTATAGATACTTATTATTATTTATTTGGAACTGAATAATTTGCCTTCAATCTGTATAATCATTTGTAACGTCAACGTCCCGCTTAGACAGCTTTCATAGGTCATCCTTCAATCAACGTCCCGCTTATATTTGATAGTTTTCATAGGTCATAGGCTGCCCTTACAGGCCACCACATGTCTTTTCTGCACACTTTGTCCTCAGAAAGAATTTTCCAGTCGGTCACCCATCTCGAAATTGCTCCAAGCCAAGCACGCTTAACCCTGAAGTTCTTTGAAGATCGGCTTGCAGAAAAAAAGTTGTAACTTGTTGATATAAGTATTCTAGTAATCCTATAAGCCCTGGGCCGGGATGTCACAATCCTCGTCCCCTTAAAACACCGACGTCCTCGTTGGTCAACCCCAGGCCAGGAACGTCCCCTCTTGGCCACGTCTGTGTGTAGTGCCAGCGCATGTGCCATGCTGTGTGATCACTCCCGGTCCACACCAGCCATGCGCCCCATGCCTGCACAACTGCGACACACGCGCCCGTGAAACCGCGAGAGTCGGACGTCCCGCTTCTCCCAGGCCGGACCCGCTTACATCTGATAGCTTTTATAGGTCATAGGTTGCCCTTACACAGGCCAACACATCCCGCTTACATCTGATAGCTTTCATAGGTCATAGGCTGCCCTTACAGGCCAACACATGTCTTTTCTGCACACTTTGTCCTCACTCGTGCACACCCTTACATCTGATAGCTTTCATAGGTCATAGGCTGCCCTTACAGGCCAACCCATGTTTTTTCTGCACACTTTGTCCTCACTCGTGCGCACCTAGGAAAAATTTCCCAGTCTGTCACCCATCTCAAAATTGCTTAAGGCCAAGCACGCTTAACCCTGAAGTTCTTTGGAGATCGACTTCCGGAAAAAAAAAGTTGTAACTTTATTGACATGAGTGATGTCACATCATTGCCGGATAGATTAGGGTTGTAGCTATTGAGAACGGTCGTGTCCAGCTAATCATGGAGCAATGTGTTGGAAATGGACACAACAAGTGTCAATCCAATGTCACGCACGCGGGAGAGCGACCTAAACAGGCCCAACGCGTCGACTAAAATCACGAGAGATGACCAGAAATCAGAGGACAAAAACACAATATTTTTTTAAAACAGAATCAATATTTTTCAAATAGAATTAGATTGAGATACAGACAACCTACCACCAGTGAAAATATCTTACATAATTATAATAGTAGAAATATTCTGAGGTTGAGGATGGCCTTTTTTTTCTTTCCAATTTCATTGGTCTACTGATCAACCAAAATGTTTTTCTTTTCTTCATTGGTAAGATCTTACAATTTTGAGGTTGATTTTTTTTTGTTTCGTCTTCATCGGTCTGCTGATCAACCAAAATGTTACTGGGATATATCACATCCTCTTAAATTCCTTATATTCTAGAACAGAGGGAATACTTTGTAAAGCAAATTTTTGACTCTCCGTTGCTGTGTTTTGGTTCAATAGTTGCCGTATGCCATAGTTTATTTTATCATACCCTATCCTGCTATCGATGATGCACAGTGAAGTTCAACTTCTATGCTCAAAGTCCAAAGGAAGACCAGAAAAATGAAATGTCGAAAATAGCTTGTCCTCTCTTCAATAGCTTGTCTGGTGGTCGATACGGATAGGTTGTATCCATATTGGCACCCATAAATATGTGATAGCACCTTTCAGGGAGTCAGGGAGGAACTCGAAACTTCTGGTACGTAAAAAAGTTCCTTCTAGTATCGTAAAAAAGTTGAAGTAAACAATCATAAAATAATTATGTACTCTTCCAATATCCCTACAGGCCGTTTAGCCGTTTAGTTGGAGGGAGCTTTCAGGAGAGATTGAGAGATTAGAGAGATAAAGCTATTCACTGTTTTGTTTAGCTGAGAGACATGAAAAATTTGGTGGAATGAGAATAAGAAATTGAGAAAGGAACTCCATCCTTTTTAATATGTAGGTAGGAGTGGTAATTGGGAGAGAATTTCTCCTTTACTTTGTCTAAGCAAATTTCAACCATTCAATTTTATTAATAACCTAATCTCCAATTAAACTCCCTATCAATTTCCACCACCTCTATCATTAAAAATTAAATTCTCATCTTAATCTCACCATCAATCTCCTCTCTCCTCGTGTAAACTTCCAATCCCCTTCCTTTGTGTTGCCCAACAAGCCATATCTAACCAGCTTGCAGCATAAATGAGAAACAAAGTCGGTTTCCAGAAACAAGGCCTAAGGAACCACAGAACGAATAACGAATAGTGCCCTATTCAGCCCTTTTTTTTTTACACTTGGCCTCTCAGCCGCATAATATGAGGTATCAGCGGTAGGGTGATTGTTTCTCAAAAAAAGGAAAAAGAAAAAGGAAAAAAAAGCGGTGGGGGTGATTGCGAGAAACCGCATAATATGTTTTAGGACTTTGGACAGTACATGTTGGCAACTTGGTGGTATACATGAACATTTTGCCCACGAATAATGCTAAGTCAGGCACACCTCATGCTAGCAGAGGTTAAAATACCTCACAAAAACTCAAGATGCATTACACCCTACTGAACATGACAGCGTAGGCCTCCACTGTCTCCAATTAGCCTGAAGGAATGTCATCTTGGACTGCTCAAAGAGAGTATGAAGGTGTCATATGGTTTCCATTCTAATAACGTTGAAAAGGAACAAAACCGATAGAAAGAAACTCACTGCTAAGAATAAATCCCTGAAGCAGGCTCTGAGCTTTGTCAGCCTGCTCAGGAGTACCAGATATTCGAACAACTTTTTCTATGGCGTCAGGCCTTTCGTCAGCAAGTGTGACAGTGGCACCAGACATCTGCGACCAACAAACAGTTTTAGAGGGTTAATAATAGGTAGAGTTGTTTGCCCTTTGTTCTACAAGAAAAATTAGAATATACAGAACCTCGCTTATTTGAGCAAGCTTGCTTCCAGCTCTCATAGTAAGGCTTGCAACAGCACTCTTTGGTATGACAACTTCTAATGTGCTTCTTGTCACTAGAGGAACAGCAAATCTGGTGGAAAAAGAAATTAAGGTGATCATGTGAAAACCAAACAGAACAAGATGGCAAAGACAAAAACATACCGTTTTGCAGCACTTTGCCTCATATCATCATTAATGTTGCTCCCTTGCTCAAACGACATATTTGCACCACCTCCACTATCCTGAAATTCAAAATGACAAATTTTAAGTCCAAAGACTCCAAAACAATGGCTAACTTTAGATAACCTAGAAGAAGAACATTATTATGCATTAAAGTTCAAATACTTAACATCCTACATTACAAACTTTTCACATCTATGCAAATCCCTTGTCACTGCCAAGTTTCACCATGCTCATTATGAAAGAAAGGGAAACCATGCAAATCCCTTGTCACTGCCAAGTTTCACCATGCCCATTATGAAAGAAAGGGAAACCATGCCCATTATGAATGAAAGGAAAATTGAGGCCAAAATTGGATGGGCCAAAAGGACAAGAGAGGTCAGTGGTAAAAAATAGAGAAAATTCCATACATAGTACAAATATATATATATATATATATATATATATATATATATATATATATATATATATATATATATCTGTGTGTGTGTGTGCGCGTGCGCTTTTCTGCAAGGACTAACAAAGACATTGAAGTACTAAAGAATACCTTCCATGAAGCTGGAACATGCTGTGCTTGTTGGTAGGATGGCATTGGAATATCACTTCCCTGGTATGGTCCTCTAGGTGAACCTTTTGCTGGAGAAATGGAGCCATGAACAGTAATATTGCCAAGTTGGTTAGGACCAGGAATCTCGCGGTAGAAGTAACTCCGTAATTTTGCAGTTATTTGCACAAGAGCATCCCGTGCAGCTCTAATCTCTCCTACAATCTGCAAGAACAATAATTTGTTCAACCACACAATATGGCAAACATAGTAAAAAAATCATTCATGTGTCAAACCAAGAATATAACAGTAAAAAGAAGATAACATGCCTACTAGGAGCACTTTGGCTTGAACACAAATTCGAGTTAGAAGATAGGTCAACCCAGGCTTGGCTCAATAAGCAAAAGAAACAAGCGTATTGTAAATTGTAAATATATGGATTATGGTCATCTATAGGGGTGGGTGTTTGGTTTCATTGGTTCATTCGGTTCGGCTTTTTCGGTTTCCGAGAATCACGGTTTTGAGATATGCCAACAGAAGTGCATGTCAACAAAAATTAAAACCGGCCCGAAGTAACCGGATTAATTCAGTTCGGTGTGTCGGCTTCACCGAACAAACCGTAAACACATCTAACGCACGGAAGCAGTAGACCAGGTGGCAGCGGCGGCATGGCGTAATCCACCATCTACGTGGAGATAAACCAGTCAATTACTGGTGTATAAATTAGGCCTAGTTGCTATGGGCCTCGTTGGATGGAGGAACGTGGGCCTTGAGGTGCTAGGTGGTACCGGTGGCATGGCGTGATCCACCACCTACGTAGAGGTAAACCAGTCAATTACTGGTGTATAAATTAGGCCTAGTTGCTATGGGCCTCGTTGGATGGAGGAACGTGGGCCTTGAGGTGCTAGGTGGCACCAGTGGCATGGCGTGATCCACCATCTATGTAGAGGTAAACCAGTCAATTACTGGTGTATAAATTAGGCCTAGTTGCTATGGGCCTCGTTGGATGGAGGAACGTGGGCCTTGAGGTGCTGCCACACTGGGCTGGGATCATGGGAGGTAGTTTGGTTGATCGGCTTCTTCGGTTGGCAAGGATGGAAAACCGCAAAAAAGACCAAAAGCTGAACAAGAACCAAACAAAAACCAAAGGACAATCCGATGACTGAAAAAACCGATGATTTGGTTCGGTTCGGCTCGGTTTTGTTCGGTCTCGGCCCACCCCTAGTCATCTAGGTATTTAACACATGGATCTCCACTATCTAGTCAAATCCTCAAGATAACAAAAATGAAGGTTCTTCTGGGAAAGAAGACAGACCTGTATAAGCTCATCAGACTCTAGAGCACAAGATGGAAGAGCTTGCCTTGGTAATATCTGTACATTTGCACTGGTCTGTCTCTGTATATCAGATAATGATCCATCCCTTCCCTCGAAGCAAGCAATTTCACTTGAAGGGACAAGTAACCTTGTTGTAATAATGTTGTCTTTATCAGGACCAAGGTCTACAATATGAGTTTGGAGGTGCAGCAATGCTTCCTGAGCTGGAAAAAGCTCATGGTCTGGGCCCTATAACAATCGTAAGGACCATTTTAAGAATAAAATATTGAAACATGTCAGTGAAGGGAGGGGTACTGAACCCAAATTCCAGCTATAACAATGATGGTTGATACAAATAGCAGAAAATACCAACAGAAAGAACAACATAATATTTCAAATAAAATCCATCATAATTGAGGCCAAACTAATGTTACACGCAAGCAGACACTGCTGTAAGCATTTTTGGAACAAAGAGCTCCTCAGATCTGAATAGCTTACTGTATAGGACTATAGGTGTGGATAATCCAACAAGCTAAAATCATCTTGTTTCATTCACATCAGTAAGACAACCTACTTAACTACTACAATGACTAGTTAAAAAATAGTTGACTTTCATCAAGCAATACTTCAAACATTGCCTGGACTGTGTAAATCTAGCTAGCAATCTAGTAACACTACTTTAGATTAGTGAAGCAATGAGTAGATCAGTAGAATTTCTCACAGAAAAAGGACCCGTCTGATAAATATAACTTCATATGCAACTGAGATTGGAAAAAAACTACAAAACAGTGTGCGTCACTCATAGCATCGTCTGTTGAAGCTGCAAATGTAACTTTGAAAAAACCCACAGAACTGTAACCCAACCCTTCCTATAACGTACAAGTTTTTACATAACTTAAACAGCCATGTCAGTAATAGTATGGAGAGTGGTGAACTAAAAGACATAAGTGAGTGTGTATTACCTCTCTTGATGTGATGATTATGATCCTTTCGTCAGAGCCATCAAGAGAATCAGTAAGCCTAATATCAACACCAACATCTTCCTGTAACATCTCTAACAATCCATCACGTGTTCCGACTAAACTGTTAACCTTGTCACTTGGGCAAAGAATTCGAAATATGATGTCATCGAACAGAATTTCTGTGTGATCATTGATCTTGCCACCATTTGAATCAAACTCATACCCTGGCAGCTCCATGCTAGTATTATTTCTAATTTGATCAGGTCGACCATAAGGTTCTTCATATGCAGGCATCTGCTGTGCACCACCATAGTATTCATCCTCTTGAGGAAATCGATGCTCTGGTGAATTCATCCGTCCACGGAAGGGGCCACGGTCACGGTGTAAGCTTTCCTTTAGGCGATCGGAGATTATCGCTACAGCCTTTTTAACACAATTCCCCTCTCCAACAACCTGTAACATCATATCATGATAATAATACACAGTAGGGTGAGAAGTGCCACAAGTAAAAAGAAGTCTAATAAAGAGTGTCATTTATCTTTCTATGCATCCAAATCACAATTACAACATGTGCTAAGAGACAGATTTATCATGTTGAACCTAGATCATTTCAGATCATAATTGAATGAATTTACAAATCAATGTCAGAACAGTTTTCACTAAGCAAACAGAAGGCTAAAGTTTTCACTTTTAAGGTTAAAGTTGACAAGAGAGATAGTTTAAGCCACTGTTGCTAGAAGACAAATCTGGAACAGTGTCTTTCATATAATATTTGAAATATAGTCTCAAATAATAAGTTGTTCCATAAGTGAGCTGAGTAAATCTATATGTCCAACTATATTATTATTTTATTTCATTTAATACAAGAGCTCAGCATTAAGCAAACATCATATGAATAAATCCCCATAAACTGTGCAAAGAGTAATTTCACAAACTGGTATTAAAGCCTAACGAAAACAGGTTATTTTTAAATTAAATGTGTGTGTAAACAAAGTTGAAATTAAATACTGACTAGGAACAAGGGTAGAGCAGATTTCTTACTGTTGAAAGCATTAAATCAGTTTCCACTGTGTTGCTTGTAACCAACTACACGGTGATGACTACAGTTCAAGAATTAATATATTGTGATATTAAATCAGTTATAATGCCAAACTCAATGTCTCAAAAGAAGCTAAAGATATGAATACTAGAGAGGTTAATGCTAAGCAACATTATAAAGTTAACAGCGAGAAACATCCAGAACTAGTGCACAGGTACTAGCAGTTATTGAACAGGAAACATCATGGGAACAGAGTCATCAGTCAACATAATTGTGAGAGATAGTAGGAAAAGTCCTAGAGTACTGGAACTTGGAGCATTTCCTAAAATTTTCAGATATATTTGGAAAAAAAAATCAGTTCTACGGAACTGAGGGATTACCATTTTTGCTATATATATAGCTGAATTTGTTTTCACCCTAATAGTATCACGTATTTTCTACCACGTGTTCAGTAAAGCAATGTTGCTATTTGACATTAGTTCTCCGCCATCACAAGTCACAAGCTGTTCCCGATCCTGTACCCTCATAGGCTATCGGCACTGTCCAAATCGAAACAAGTTGCTGCTCAATTTCACCCCTCCCATCCAAGCTATGAATTCTCTCTTACTGCAGAAACCATGGCAACAGACCCAATAGTATGCACAGAGTCATTCCCAAATATTGTCAATGGGGCGAAGAAGGGATGGGGTATGCCCCGGTTTACGTGTATGGCAGCAGCACCACGGTTGGGTCGACACCATCACCCCATGACACCAACACCCCACACACTCAAGCAGTGTCAGATCCCTTTCCTAAGCATTCCATTACTTCACTAGCCCCATAAGGCCACAACTGATCATTCCTTCTGAATTTGTTCCCGCATGCTGATTTTCTTGAGCTAGGAGGCAGCGCTCTCCAGCGACATGCTCATCCAAAAAGATGCGGTCACCCAAAAGCTGGCCATTGTGTCAGCGCCACCATCCATTCATCCACAAATCTCTGCCGTAAGTGAGCAGCATATGGGATTAAACGATGAGTGGTGTGCCTCAGCTGCAGCTGCCGCTGACCACTGTTAAGCGGTGTATGGAGCCAACAGAGTTCAATGGTGATGAGGACAAGTGAATGAAGAGCTGAGCATGATTTGAGGGGTGATTCAGGGATTTCTAGAGAAGTATTTGTCCCAAAAAGTCTTTTAAAAAAGCCAAAGCGCTTGATGGACATACTAACATAGACTGCATAAAAACTTACGGTATTTTTAGGTGGTATTAAAGTGCACCAAGAAAGGTAGGTATTAATGCAGGTATCTTGCAGTGCTGTGGAAACATTTTTTTTTTCAATATATTCATGAAGATTTTTGTCTTGTCCTGCTTTTAGATTTGTTGTTTGATTTGTGTCTGTTCTTTAAACCTTTTTTTTGTCGTTTTCATCTGGGAGTGTTCAGGTTTGATCATCGTACACTACACATTTTAGTGAATCAAATTTGGCCAATAAACCAAACCGAACTAAACTAAACATCACTCTAACTAGAAATTTTATTAGGAAATATTCTTCTCTACAGCAGTTCATCAATCAAATGTTCGATTCTAGCATATTCTAAGTATCAAGAACACATCTAAGTCTTGTCCAACACGTAGCATAATCTGTTTAGCATTTTGCTTTCCTTTTATCCGTACATTAATATATAACTATGCAACTAAATTATACACATAACTCCAAGTTAATGTACCATTGTCTAAAGTAAAAATTGAAATTTTTTTACCAGATTATAGTAAGCAGCCTCTTACCTGTACAACCTCCTCCGACAACGATACACACCGCGGCGTGTGCTGGTCGCGTGGCAGGATCCTGATGTGCGTTTTGGTCTCGGCCCTCATCTGCTCAATGATCTTGCCACCCTTACCAAGGAGGCACCCAACATGGAGGCGCGGCACGATGAGGCGCGTGGTCACCTTGCCTCGGTCCCTGGCATCCTTGGCCCTGGGCCCATACTCGCCATCCTCATCGCCGTCGTCTGGTTCCGTCTCCAGGATCCGCCGGTGCACCATGAGGAGCGCCTCCTGCGCCGGCGAGAACGAGGGCGGCCGCCCATCCGCCTCGCGGCGCGCGCCGTCGGACGTCTCGATGACGCGGACCGCGTCGCCAGGGTAGGGCAGGTGGATGGTGACGACCGCGTTGGTGTCGTCCCGCACCTTGGCGATGAAGCTGGGCGGGAAGCCGTAGACCTTGGACTGCGGGCACAGGATGCGGAAGGAGGTGGTCATGCCGGGCCCCCCGCCCCCCGCCGCCGCGGAGGAAGGCGGCGGGGGTGGGGGCGGGGGCGGGGCGGCGTCGGGTGGCAGCTGGAAGCCGCCACGGCGGTCGCCGCCGCCGCCACCGGGGGGGCCGCGGCGGTGGTAGCTGTTGTTAGGGTTGGGGCCGCCGCGGCGGTCGAAGCGTGGCTTGGAGCGGGGCGGCGGCGAGTCCTGGTCGTAGTGGTAGCCGCGCTTGGAGGAGCGCGGGCGATCCATTGCCGGATTCGAGGGCTCCCCACCCTCGTCCTCGAATTCGTTCGATTTTGGTTTGATTGCTCGGTTCGGATTAGGGTTTAGAGCGACAAGGGGGAGGGCGCCATGGATCGGAGAGTGAGGAGGTGAGCGTGTGTGCTCACTGCTCTAGGTAGGCCACCAACACCTTCTCAGACTCAAAAAGTGTGCGGTACGTGTCAAAGGAGGGATTTGTAGCAGCCCAATTTTGTTCTCTCAGATTCATCTCATTTGTGTTGATTTTTGTATGTGCAGTAGATTATTATTATAATAGGGTTTATAATAATAAGTCATAATTTATAAACTATTTTACGTGTGTCTTACGCTATAGGTTTAACCAAACATTATTACATTTATGGTAATTAATTGTTAGCCACGTCTTTTATAAAATTGGTAGTGATAAGGTTAGTCGTCATCAATTAAGTTATCTTTACTTACTAGGGTGGTGTTTGGTTAGATCAAGGTAACGCTAATGTTAATGGGAGTGGTTCCGTCCGTAATCGATACCATTGTAACAGATAAGTACTTTGTTTGGTTTGTTGCGGTAACACATCCGGAGTCACTCACGCTGTTTGGATGCGCGGCTGCACGCTAGCCGCTAGGTAATAGATTCAGTGAGCTGCTAGTTGAAGCTGAGACGGACACAAGAAGCAAATACAAAGCAAATGCATGCAACGAGCAGAGTTTTGACAGATAGTTCATAATATGCAAAACACCGTCACCTCATGTTTGGATACAAATTTTGACAGTGAGAACTCGAGACAAAAAGACATATTCTGCAGAATTTAATCAGTGATATACTTTTAAGAGTAAAGTCCATCACCGGTCCCTAAACTTGTACCGCTGTGTCATCCTGGTCCCTAAACTCGCAAATCGACCGTTCAGGTCCTCAAACTTGTTTAACTATATCATCCCGGCCTCTAAACTTGCAGATCACTTGTTTAGGTCCTCCAACTTGTTTACTTGTGTCACCCCGGTCCCTAAACAAGACAGTCTAAAAACTTTATATCAAAAAATAATTTATAACTTTTTCATGTGAATTCTAATGAAGACAAACTTTATATCAAAATTGTAGCCTTCGACGCGACTTACAACTTTGTAGTTGAAAAGTTTTTGAATTAAAACTGTTTAGGTCCCAAAATATTGTTGCATGTTTATATATTTTGAAATTTTAATTTTAAAATTACATTTTGGGACAAAAAATGACTTAAAATAAAAAAAACTCAACTACAAAGTTGTAGATCGCGTCGAGGGCTACAAGTTTGATATAAAGTTTGTCTTTATTAGAGTTCACATGAAAAATTTATGAATTATTTTTAAATATAAAGTCTCTAGACTGTCTTATTTGACCCAGATGATATTCAAATCTAAGTTTAGGGACCGGGGTGACACAACTGAATAAGCTGGAGGATCTAAACGAGTGATGTGCAAGTTTAGGGACCGGGGTGACACAGTTGAACAAGTTTGAGGACCTGAACGGTCGATTTGCGAGTTTAGGGACCGGGATGACACAACGGTACAAGTTTAGGGACCGGTGATGGACTTTACTCTACTTTCAAAATTTAATCAACAAAGGAGTGGATGAAAAGTTGATCCATGCTGGAAGTGATAACTTCAGAAGTTCAATGAACCAAACAACAAGAGGATACATTGTGATCTGTCTAAATAAAGTACTGAGGAAATATATGGATGAAACTACCAGATTAAACAATAAGCTAGGGGCAATACTTCTATCTGAAAACAGGACAGTACTTTGATCACAGAATATGTAGACTGTCATGGTTCAAGCAAATAAAGCTGAAGCACTGAAACTAAACATCCTTAGGACATAGGTAGTCTCTAATCCCCAAGGCATACGCTTATATGGAATTCTAATAATTAAAGAACAGATAATGAACATCTTGTATATCCTGCTTGACAGCCAGCACATCAGTACATCAATTTTTCTTTGCCTCATCTGATAACAAAAAATTTCAGAAATTAGTGAAAGAAACATTAGGTGAAAGAATATATATAGTGCTCAGCATCATACCAAATTAAGAATATTCTTGCTCATACAAGCCATATATGATATTCAGAAATAGGTAGCATTTTTTAACTTTAGGAGTACAAAAACTCCCTGTTAGGTGTATGCAAGTAAGCAAGACCAAGCACATACTCCAGTTAGAAGTGAATATGATATTACTATAGCATTGAGATGGACAGCTGGGCCCATTGATGCATTATACTAGTGCAAGGCAAATAATATGAATGCATATATGAAATGCTAAGTGGTAAAGAGCAATATGCTTACAATTAATGATCTCAAAATAAATATGTTGCCTGTTGCAGTTGCAACGCTACAAGAGTGATCAAGTGAATTACCAGCAAGTATTTTTAGCACGTACTCCCTCCTGAGAGACTCTGAAAGAGCGACAAGCATACTCATTTGAGCCGGCACTTTTACAAAAGCAGCTGCAACATTGACAACTTCAATACCAGTCAATCCAAGCTTTTGACACTCAAGAATAGCTTCGTTGTGAAATTTTTGTAGTTGGTCCTCCTCAGCCATTGCTTCTCCGCGTTTTGGTACTTAAGGGAAGGCGAGCCATAGCACTCTACAAATACATAAAACAAAAGCATTAACCCTATGTCCAGAATATATCCTGCTAGCATGCATAATACATCAAGCTACCATTCAAACAAAAGACAGTACAAATTTATTTTTGTTGCTAAACATAAGTAATTCACCAGAACACAATATCAAGCATCCATTCAAGGAGCATATTTACATGTATGTGCTGTTTTACTAGAACATATTTAACTACTGGAATATATTCTGTCAAACAGGCAATACGCAAAACTTTTTTCCCCAATCTGATATTGTGCAAAATAATATATCACCTGGCAGTAATAAAAATCAAAATTCTCAAAATCTAGATAGTAAAATGAGTTGGTCCAACTTCCCTACACTCAAAAAAAAAAGAACCATGTACTGATGTTCAACTTTCATGCAATCGAGGCAAATAGATTCTACATAACCCATGTGAGGCAAACAGATATGAGGCAGGAACACATGTGATTTACTTGTATAAACTACTACATGATTTTTTAGAAGACTATTACAAGATCATCACTCACCAGCATCACAAGTATATCACCATAAAATAAGGTGGTTTCAGTAGGGGGAGGGTTCTCACTGGCGAGGTGATCGTTCGACAGCGGCAACGACGAAAGACGAATGTAGTTGATGGCAGCAGAATCTCCGACTAGCCTCCTGCTGCACGTCCTTGCCCTTCCCGTCAAGATCCATTTTCCATGGAGTTCTTCCCGTCAAGATCCAATCGCCAAGAAGGTGGAACTCCGGGGAGGTGGCAACGCACGTTGGACGGGGCAGGAGGGACTCTGGAGGCGGAACTCCTGGATGTGGGGAGCACCGACGCGCCGGCTTGGCCAAGCGGTGGTGGAGGAGCGCACGAGACGGGGGAGCAGTGGAGCGTGCAGTGGGAGGGGGCGGCGCTGGCGACGGGCGCGGGGCGAGGGGGCGACGTCGGCAACAGACGCGGGGTGTTGGGGCGGCGCCGGCGACGCGTGCGCTGCGAGGGAGTAGTGGCGGTGGCGCTCGATTTGGCGGTGCTAGGTCACGCTCTCCTCTCCATATCGGTATCACATTCCGCCCGTCTAGGAGCGTAATCAGATTTGTATTGGGCCGGAATTCGTTTACGGGCTATCCGATTACGGTCCATCTGAAACAAACGAGTGTAACGAGATCTATTCACGGTGGGAACTGATACGGGCCAAAAACGACCCAACCAAACAGCTCCTAGGTACTTGTGTAAATACCGAAGATTTTGTCGCTCCTTCAATTTTCATTTATGTGTTTTTTTTGTTTTGATTTAATTTTATGCAAGTCTTTTACATGGTCCTCTATTTGATTAGAAATATTTGACATTTATGATCATCAATGTTATATTTAAAAGTTTATAAAATCTATTAGGTTCAAAATACTATGATAGTACTTTCGAGGAAAAATCTAAAGTACTTTTTTTTAAAAAACTAAGCATTATAGAAATTATTTACAGTCGGAGTTTTCAAAAATTTAATCAAATTTTATCATAAACGTCAAATTTTATGATCAAAGAGAAAATCAAGCAAGTAGCAGGCATTCAATAGAGCAAAGCTTACAAACAAAAGGATATTTTTTGTACATCCTTTTGATTTCAAACTACAGATGGTAGTGGTGCTGCACGGAATAGGCTTATTATTCACTAAATATATTGCCTATTTTTCCAACCTCGCATAGGGTAATTCATAGCAAATCGTAATAGTAAGTTGCACTAGGTTATCTTAATTTTATATAAGTTCCATAAAGGGAGTAAATAGGCTATTGGTGATGGGCATTCCATTAGCACATATTTCTTGGGAAATAAAAGTACTTGCGGGTGAAAAAATCAGTTAAAAAAATGCATGTCAGTCGTGATAAAAAGATCTTTTGTGTGATTGATGGAAAGCACAAATTGCTAAGGAGTAGGATACTATGCGCAATGATGCTACACTATTAAAGTCGGTAGCCAAGGGTCTCTTATTCCACTATAAGTGGCATTGTTCCATTAGAATTCTAGCTAAAAAATCTATATAGTTTAACGCTAGTCAATAATAAAGGGGAGTTGGGGATTTGTCCCATCACCTTATTTCTCATTATTTATTTATTTTTATATTTATCTTTTTCTTAACAAATTTACTGTTGTGTGTCTTATGACAGAAACCGGAGATGTAATCCATTTCCATTATCTAAAAAAACACCAAATATATGTATATGTGAACTAGCAAAAAAAACATGTTTAATATAACACAGAGAGAGGAATCGCAACCTATTTTTATTAATTTTATAACTTAAGTTAGTAGGCATGTTGAATTTGGTTGGTTGGTTGCATATCGACATGATGATATTGATGACTAGTGCATCAATAATATAGTAGGTGATGAATAAAGGTGGTAAAAAAAACATCTACCGACTTATTCTTATAGGTACGTGCAACACGCAAGTAGATATCGCTGGATATTTGATGATGATATAATATTTTGTATGTGCTATTCTATAAGGACGAGAAAGACTGGTTTGGCTCGAGTAGAGTTGGATATTAATTCATTTAGCCAATTCATATATTAACATTAACAGATTTCAAGGCTCTAAATGGGTTAAACAATGTCTAACAATTAAAAGCTTAGGTTAATTAGCTACAACTAGCAAGTTGAACAATTATTGTTTGGTTGTGGCTATGTATAACTTTTCCAATTTAGCTCTTAGGATCAATTTGTTTGTGCTATTTGGAATCTACTACTTTGTTTACTGTGATTTGTGAACATGCCTCCTGATATGCTAAACAACGCTTTTCTTAAAAAAATATATATCAAAATTTATTTGAAAATCAAATTAATGTATTTTAAAATTGATAATAATTAATACTTAATTAATCATGTATTAATTACTGGCCGTGTTTTCTATGTCACAGTTTTGTTTAGCCGGACATCTTAGATCGAACCAGACCTTAGTCTTAGCTTTGCCACCTAGTTCCCTAGGTTAGTTGGTTAAGCGGTCGCTCCTGACTACGTCTCGGGGTAAACTACTTCTCAACCTTACCTCCATTCAAAAGTCCTAAAATATAGTAGTACTCCCTTCCCTCCGTTTCATATTATAAGACTTTCTAGCATTACCCATATTCATATAGATGTTGTCTAGATTCATTAACATCTATATGAATATGGGTAATGCTAGAAAGTCTTATAATATGAAATGGAGTCTAGATTCATTAATATCTATATTAATGTGGGCAATGCTAGAAAGTCTTATAATATGAAACGGAGGAAGTAACTTTTAACTCTAAATCTGGATTTGCACTTGTTCAGATTCATAACTAAAAATGTTATATTCTTGGATGGAGGTAGTGCTAGAGAAGCCAAACCAACAATTTCGGTTTAGATTGAATGCTTTAAACCATGACTCAGACCAATTACAAACGATTTAGGCCCTTTTTAGTTTAGGGGTGAAATTTTTGGCGTATTACATCGGATATACGGACACACATTTGAATTATTAAACATAGTCTAATAACAAAACAAATCATAGATTCTACATGTAAACTGCGAGATGAAATTATTAAACCTAATTAATCCGTCATTAGCAAATGTTTACTGTAGCACCACATTATCAAATCATGACGTAGTTAGGCTTAAAAAATTTGTCTCGCAATTTACACGCAATTTGTGTAATTAGTTTTTTTTGTCTATATTTAATACTCCATACATGCGTCCAAATATTCGATATGACATGGTGAAATATTTTTGCGTGGGAACTAAACATGACCTTACTTCCTTGTTCCAAAACAACAAAAGCTATAATGGGTTGGAGATACGAAGTATCACGCTATAACAATTTTGAATAAGGATATGTCACATCTAGATTGAGTTATTTTAGTATAGATGGAGTAATTGCTAATATCATGAGATATTATTGACCGTGATGAATGTTGAGGATAAGAACAATTCTTCCGATCAATAATATTTGATGTTGAGTAATATTAAAATAGTGATAAGTAGACCAAATATTCTTAAGGCTCATTTGAATTGCAAAAATGAAAAAACGGAGGAATAGGAAAAACATATGATTCTAACATGAATGAAAGTGTAAAACAGAGAATTGTAAAATAACGGGAAAAACACAGGAATAACCGTTTGATTGGACCATAGAAAAAATACAGGAACCAGATGAGAGAGATAGATTCGAAGGAAATTTTCCAAGAGGTTTAAGCTCTCGCTAAGTTTTCTATGAAATCTCTGTAGGATTGTCTATCCCATAGGAATTTTAAAGAATTGAATATAATTCAATCATTTGATTTAAAGACATTTATAAATTTTTTTTCTATAAGATTAAAATTCTCTATAATTTTTATGTTTTTCTCCAAATCAAAAGAAGGATATTGCTTTGCCTTTCATAGAATGGAAAAGTGGAATCCTGACTAGTGGAGTCGACAGTTGCGCTGCTGCTGCTGCCGCCGCCGCCTGCTGGCCGATCCGAAGAGCATTAAAAAATACAGCGGGCGGAGATGCTGGTTTCTCCCTCCTCCGTGCGTGCCCTCGCCTTCCTCCATCGCCGCTTCCCTCCCCCTCCCCCTCCCCCTCGCCCCCACCTCCTCCAGCCCCCCACCCACCCTGCTCCCCCGCGCTCTGCCATGGCCTTCTCCGCGGAGCCGGCGGCCGAAGAGGCTGAGGAGGAGGCCCTCCCGCCCGTCACCGGCCCCGGCGAGGTCACCGCGGAGGAGTGGAGGCGGTGGGGCACCTCCTCGCCGCTCCCGGCCGCGGTGGCCGCCGTCGTCGGCGAGCTTCTCGAGATGGAGGCCGAGGCTGGCCAGAAGATGCGCTTCGGCGGCGTCGGCTCCAAGATTAAGGTAAACGGCTTGTTGGCTTCATCTCAATCCCCTTCCACGTCCTGGATGCTGCTTGCAGATTCCCGAGGTGATACAGCATTGCAGGAATTGAAACTGATATCGGCTCATGGTTTGCTTGTTTCTTGAACTGGTTACTCATAGGGTGATTTCAAAGACATGGAGGACAAGAAGCACAGGGCTGTCTACCAGACGCTCGCCGACTCGGACAAGAAGCTGCAGTACTTCTCCGCGCGGCAGATTGCTTGCCGCTTGCTAGGGAGTAGAGGATATCTGTGCCAGAAGGTGATGTGACAGTGTCAGCTAGTATATGCACATCTTGTCAATCACTTCTTTTTGCAGCGATCATACACAATGCAGCAATCAGGCCTTAATGGTTTATTCAACTGAAGCTTATTTTTGCTACTAACATTTATGTGCCCTTTCTTTGCTCTTCTTCATTTCCCACAGTTTGCCTGATCTGCCTACCTCTTAAAACTACAGTGTTGGCTGCCAATGGAAGATTGTATGTGTGCGAAGCTTGGTTCTTGCAATCTATGGCAGGGAATTAGATTCTGGCTATATATGCATCCGAAGGTCTCTTCAAAGGGGTTTATGTTGAATTTCTTGTTCTGTTCTTTCTTCTGGGTATGCCAGTATCTCTAATACTCTATTGTTGCAGGACTTTTTGCGCCAAAACAATACCGGAAAGTTACTATGGCAAGTATTTGGCATCCAAGCTGCACCCTTGTGTCTCTTTGGCATCCAAGAGCACGAAGACATTATGTGGGATGCTTTCCAGCGTTCAGGTTGTTACAAAAGTCAATGCCAACTTTCATCTGTTAAACATATGAAATCAGTTACATTAAAAAAGTATACTAATGCTTTCAGGAGCTCCCATTTTCTGTATAGTAGTTTACATTAGCTTCACTTAGCATGCTTGTTCAACGTTTTTTTTCTCTTAAGCTTCTTTGGCGCACACAATCTCTCCCGATGTGTTTAAAGTTTAAGCTCTTGTTTATGATCTGGAAACATAACTGGCCTTTAGACTCTCAACTGCTGTTAAGTATTCTTCTTGGAAGGGGCAGGGAATTAGTGCGAACTACACAAATTATGCTAGTGATTACACTGCAACATACCTTTCTTTAGAAATGCAAATGCTTAGTAAAAGATTATATTTGCTCGTTTGGAATTCTCTGTGCTAGTGTCTAGATAAGTGTATTCCTGTCCCAACCCTCTTCACATATTGAGTGGCATTTTTAATTTAGAAGGAGCTTAAAAATGTCCACATTTACTGACAATCTAATGACCAGGGGATCTTTTCTTTGTTATTTCATCAATGCATTGCTAGTACTGAAAATATTTGCATTATCGATGTTCCTTTTCTGTTTGCATTCTATCCTTCTATTTTAATCATTGCATAAATGAATATACTGTTGCATATTGGAAGTTGTCTTCGTGGCTGCTGTTTTGAACCTGTTGGCGCATTGAACAACTAGGGTAGTGTTTCACAGAAACAAATCCAAACCAGAAGTAAAAATGTATGAACTAGTAATAGAAATAAGATTTGAATTAATTTTCTTGTGGCCCATGGAAGATTATTTCATTAATTTGTCGTCTAATATCTCTACTCTCCCTGCTATATTTAGCAAGGATATATGTATCTGTGCACTTCATGTTTAAATACTGTATATTTCCATTCTGATATGGTTTTTGCCAGGAAAGGGAAAGGTTTCATTTCTATATCCGAATAAGAGTACAACCCCCATGTCTGTCAAAGATCTTAAATTTGATGGTTTGAACTTGAGTTGTGATCATCCGGAGGAGGTATTTATTCTGTTCTTTAAGCTGTGTATTAATAAGTTGCACTGTTGCACACCCTGTTAGAATTTCAATGGTTACTCTCATTGAGAAGAGGATGGCACTCGAGATGGGGCAATTTTCTGGTTTTCTTCATTCACAAAACACAAAAGCCATACCTACCCGAGGGAGGTTGGATACATATATATAGCCATAGCTGGCTGCTAGCCTATTGCTGCACCCTCCTAGTCTAAAATTCGAAATTTGAATGGGATGCTGTCCTAGAGGGCATCCAAACTGAATAAAGCATAAAAGAGGCATAAAGGAGATGCTAACTGCTGCTGTCCTACTAACCGCAGCTGTCCTAGCAACTGAAAAATATGCTAAAGGGTAGATGCTGTCCTGAAAAAGGTGAAACTACCCAAAAGCAAAAAGAAGAATCACAACCAAGGACCACAAAGACTTTTCCAACATTCTCCCCCTAAGTCTTGTGCGTCGTCTTGTGGGGAAGTTGGGCCATCCCGATCCTGGAGTAGAGCTCGAGGAACTTGATCCTCCCAAGAGGCTTGGTGAGCAAGTCCGCAAGCTGGTCCTTGGTGTTGATGTAGCTCGCCTTGATGCTCCCTTCCTCCAAGTAGCTTTGGATGAAGTGGTACCTCACCCGGATGTGCTTGCTCCGTTCGTGAAAAACGGGGTTCTTTGCCAGGGCCAGAGCGGACTTGCTATCCACCCTGAGCTCCACCGTTCCAGTGTCTCTGCCGAGGAGAACACTAAGCAGTCGAGCAAGCTAGAGCGCCTGGGTCGAAGCGGCGGAGGCCGCCATGTACTCGGCCTCGCAACTGGACAGGGCCACCACCTGCTGCTTGACTGACTGCCAGCTAACGAGGCACTTGCCGAGGAAGAAGAGAATCCCGCTCGTGCTCTTGCTGGTGTCGATGTCGCCGGCGTGGTCGCTGTCGCTGTACCCGACGAAGTGTGCCTTGCCAGGACACCTCGGGTAGTAGAGACCGTGGTCGAGAGTCCCCGCAACGTAGCGGATGATCCTCTTCACAGCCTGCTGGTGCTCCGTCGTCGGTCGCTGCATGAACCGATTGACGTAGCCGACGGAGAAGGCCAAGTCCGGCCGTGTGTGGGTGAGGTAGCGAAGGCTCCCCACAAGACGCCGGTACTGTGTAGCATCCACCTCCTCCGCCGTGCTGTCGCGGCTCAGCTTCAGTCTCTCCTCCATCGGAGTGAGAGCTGGGTTGCAATCGGTGAGCCCAGGCAGCTCAACGACGCGCTTGGCGTAGGCGGTCTGTCGAAGCGTGATCCCGGAGTCGTCCTGGTGCACTTCGATCCCCAGGTAGAAGGAGAGAGGCCCCAGATCACTCATCTGGAAGGTGGCCTTCATCTCCTCACTTGAACGCCGCGACCTCCGCATCCTTGGTGCCGGTGATCACCAAGTCGTCGACGTAGACACCCACCAGCAAGGCATTTCCTCCATTGCCCCGCCAGTAGATGGCCGCCTCGTGCGGGCTTTGCTCGAAGCCATCCCCTTGAGCGTGGAATCCAACTTGGCATTCCACGCCCTCGGTGCCTGCCGCAAGCCGTAGAGGGCCTTGTGCAGGCGTAGCACCTTGCCCTCCTTGCCGGGGATCACAAATCCCGGCGGCTGGTGCACGTAGACCTCCTCCTTCAAGTCGCCGTTCAGAAACGCCGACTTGACGTCCATGTGATGGACGCCCCAGCCTTCCTGAGCAGCCAGCGCAAGAAGGAGTCGCACGGACTCCATCCGTGCCACGGGAGCGAAGGCATCATCGTAGTCGATCCCCTCCTGCTGCACGAAACCGCGTGCCACCAAGCGAGCCTTGTGCTTGACGATGGCTCCGGCTTCATCCCTCTTCAGCTTGAACACCCACTTAAGGGTGATCGCTCGGTGACCACGAGGGAGGTCAGCAAGCTCCCAGGTGCGGTTCTCCTGAACCGCGTCCATCTCCGACTGCATCGCGGCACGCCATGCCGCGTGTTTCTCGGCCTCTGCAAAAGACCGAGGCTCACCGTCGTCGCACGCAAGGTGCAACTGCGCCTCTAGGTCGCGAGGCACCAGTCCTGGCACCGGTTGGTCGCCGAGAAGATCCTCCATCGTACGGTACCGTAGCTGCTCGCCGTCGTGGTACGCGTCGATGCGCTCCCTGTCGTGGGAGAGCGGAGTAGCGAACTCCACTGGGCTGCGCTCAACACGAGCTGGCGTCGGAGTAGACGTGCTTGGAGGAGTGGCTGTTGGTGCTGGAGCATGTGGAGTCACTGGCTGGGGTGGTGTCGACGAAGAGCTCGTCGTAGTCGAAGTCGTGGCCCGAGGGTGTGTTGGTGTCGGAGTCGGTGGAGATTCGAGGGCTGGGGTAGACACGCTCGGTGAAGAAGAGCTGCCTACTCCCCCAGCTCCCTCGAAGTGGATGTACTCGACGGTGAAGTCGTCGTACGTCGGAGTCGAACCATCGTCCACCGCCTTGTCCCATACCCACCCTCGCCCTTCGTCGAACACAACGTCGCGTGCAGTGCGCACACGCTGTGTCTCCGGGGTCGAGGATACGGTAGGCCTTCGAGCCCTCCGCGTAGCCGATGAACACCCCTGGGGTGCTCCTGTCGTCGAGCTTGCCGATGTGGCCAAGCTCCTTGGCGAACGCGAGGCAGCCGAAGACCCGCAGATGGGAGACCGCCGGCTTGCGCCCATGCCAAGCCTCGTACGGTGTCCTGCCATCGAGGGCCTTGGTAGGCGAGCGGTTGAGGATGTAGGCTGCCGTCACCACCGCCTCCCCCCAGAAGATGGCCGGCATCCCCCTCTGCTTGAGGAGGGCCCGAGCCATCCCCACAACCGTCTGGTTGCGCCGCTCGACAACGCCGTTCTGCTGCGGGCTGTACGGCGTGGTGTAGTGGCGCTGAATGCCCTCATCAGCGCAGTACGACGCGAATTCAGCCGCTGTGAATTCGCCGCCGTTGTCGGTGCGCAGCACGCGCAGCTTGCGGCCGCACTCCGCCTCTGCAGCAGCCTGCGCATGCCTGATGGCGTCCGCAGCCTCTCCCTTGCTGCCGAGGACCATCACCCACATGTAGCGGGAGAGGTCGTCGACGAGCAGCAGGAAGTAACGTCGTCCTCCTGGTGTGGCCGGTGTCACTGGGCCACACAAGTCCCCGTGCACGAGCTCGAGCCACTCCTTGGCTCGGAAGCTCGTCTGCTGGGGAAAGGGGAGCCGCCGCTGCTTCGTCACCACGCAAACGTCGCAGAGCTGCTCCACGTGGTCAAGGCACGGCATGCCTCGCACCATCTCCTTGGCACTGAGCTGCTTCAGGGCCTCGAAGTGGAGGTGCCCGAAGCGCTCGTGCCACTGCCACGCCTCGTCGTCCCGACGAGCGGCGAGGCAAACTGGTTGTGCGACCTGCGCGCTGAGGATGTAGAGTCGATTAGTGCCTCTGGTTACCTTGGCAAGAAGGCGACGACGGCGATCCCAAATCCTCATGAGTCCGTCCTCGACCAACACGCGTGAGCCGTTCTCATCCAGCTGTCCCACGCTGATGATAGAATTCCTCAATGCGGGGATGTAGTAGATTCCGGTGAGCAGCCTGTGCTCACCGGACTTGGCGGTGAAGGTGACGGAGCCAACACCCTTGATCTCCACGCCGGAGGCGTCCCCGAACTTGACGGAGCCTCGGACGCCGGAGTCGAACTCGGTGAAGAACTCCCGTCGGCTGGTCATGTGATGGGTGGCGCCGGTGTCGAGGTACCACTCATCAGCCTTGTCGTTGCTGGAGCCGTTGCAGAGGGAGACGAGTACCTTCGGCTCATCAAGGTGGAGGAAAGCCGCTGCGGCCGGTGCCGCTGGAGGTAGCTCGATGCTTGCGTGAGCCAGGAGCAGAGCCGGCTCTTCCTCTTCCACCTGTGCGACGTGGGCCTGGCCGCGTCGTGGCTGTCGATAGTCTTTGGCCCAATGGCCAAGCTTGCCACAGTTGCGGCAGGCGTCGTCTCGTGCCTGCTTGTGGTTGCCGGTGGCAACGCCCTGGGCGCCTCTGCGGGCGCCACCCTCGGCACGTCTTCGCGCCCACCGTAGCTGGACACCTCCCCGCGCCTTGCGCGGCTTACGGCCGCCTGTCGGGGAAGATGACTCCCTCTTCCTCCCGTCACCCTGAGAGGCCTCCCACTGCTCCCGAGTGAGATGGAGCTTCCCGCCGATGGTGATGGGCCCCGAGAGAGGCTGTGGCTCATCACCATCGACGACCTTGAGGCGACCTAACGCCTCCTCGATCGACATTGTGGAGAGGTCCAGCAGAGATTCGATCGAGCGAGCGATCTGCCTGTACTTCTCAGGGACGCAGCGGAAGAGCTTCTCGACAGCTCTCTCCTCGTCGTAGGTGTCGTCGCCGTACTGCACCATTTTCTGCAAGAGAGTGTTGAGACGGAGAGCAAAGTCATCAACATCCTCACCTGGCTTGAAGGCCAGGTTCTCCCACTCCTTGCGGAGTGCCTGCAGTGTGGACTTGCGGGCGCGGTCGCTGTCGATGCGTGCCGTAGTGATGGCGTCCCAGGCCTCCTTGGCAGTCCGCTTCTGGGAAAGCGAGAACTGCATCTCGGGCGGGACTGCAGCGATGAGGGCATCCAGTGCCTGCCGATCCTCGTCGTAGTCGACGTCGCCGTACCGGACTGCCTCCCACATGTGCCGCACCTGGAGCCTCACCCTCATCACCGCGGCCCACTCGATGTAGTTGGTTTTGGTGAGGGTAGGCCACCCACCGCCGGGACCAAAGTCCCTGACCACCGTCTGGACGCCGTGGTGACCATGGCGCCGGTCAGGGGAGAGCCGCGCTGTCTGTGAGGGCCACGTGTGGGCTCCGGGCTGCCGCCGGCACGCCCGCGCCCGTCTGGGTTCCCGTCGGCGGGCGCGCGGTCCCTTGGGCCGCCGCCACCGCCGTGGAGGTGGGCTGCTGCCCACCGCTCTGCCCGCTCCCGTGCCCTTCCTCTTGCCAGCTCCTCAAGCTCCCTGTCGGCGGTGATGTCGCCGGCGATGGAGCCGTTGATGCTGCTGCGCAAGGTCTCAACCTCTACCTCCGCCGCACGTGCCGCATCTTCCGCCGCCTCCGCCTCCGCCTCCGCCCTGGCTGCTGCCAACTCCGCTGCCGCCAGTCTGGCCGCCCTCGCTGCTGCTGCAGCGGTCTGAGCCGTTGCTCGCCTGCGCTCTTCTGCTGCGGCGAGCTCGGCGTCCTGCTGACGCTGAGTGCTCGAGGCGACCGAACGCCGAGACCGAGCGTCGGACATGGCGCACCTCCGGGGGGCTGCTGCGTGGAGAGGGGGAAGGGAAAGGGGAAGGAGGAGCAACCGGTGCTGCTGCTGCTGCTGGCTGAGAGCTCAACCGAGCTTGGGAAGGGGTGGAACAAGAGATGTTTAGCCTATAGGAAAGTGTGGCTCTGATACCAGATGTTAGAATTTCAATGGTTACTCTCATTGAGAAGAGGATGGCACTCGAGATGGGGCAATTTTCTGGTTTTCTTCATTCACAAAACACAAAAGCCATACCTACCCGAGGGAGGTTGGATACATATATATAGCCATAGCTGGCTGCTAGCCTATTGCTGCACCCTCCTAGTCTAAAATTCGAAATTTGAATGGGATGCTGTCCTAGAGGGCATCCAAACTGAATAAAGCATAAAGGAGGCATAAAGGAGATACTAACTGCTGCTGTCCTACTAACCGCAGCTGTCCTAGCAACTGAAAAATATGCTAAAGGGTAGATGCTGTCCTGAAAAAGGTGAAACTACCCAAAAGCAAAAAGAAGAATCACGACCAAGGACCACAAAGACTTATCCAACACACCTATCTTTAGTAAAGTTTCTATAGCATAAACAATGCTGCCTTCTTTGGAGGATCTGTTTTTCCAATCACCTCCTTTTATCCAACATGATAAGTACTGATGGTGTTTGGGGTAACTGGTTTCCCATGCTAATGCAGTTAGAACAAGTATTTTCTTGTAGAAGTAACATGGTACTTCCTCCATGCTTTCTTACTTCTCATTTTAAGACATCAATAAGATATCAATTACCCACACCCATTTGACCATTCCTTTTTCTAGTTATAAGTTCTCAAAGATTACCTTTATGAGACATCTACACAATGTCATCTGCACATGGCACATCCAAATAGGTTCGCTGCACACTCTAAAACATCATGTAAATAAGTATGGATGAAATAATGAAATATCTTTTGCAATGTAGGATGTGAAAGATGAACCTTTTAACTTTGTTTTGCTTGATGGTACATGGAGTAATTCTGCTGCATTATACAGAAGGCTCAAGGTTAGTTCAGTGAGTTTCACATTCAACGTAATGCACTCCCTCTTTAGTCTGGATTTCTGTTTACATCTAAACATTATTTGTTCATGTTATCTTGATACCATGATTCAGACTAGATAGTTTACTAAAACAACTGAAAGCTCCAGTGAGCTCATTGCGTAATTAAATTATAGATAATTCCGATTTCCATATAGGTAGTTGGGTGGGCTCATTACCTAGTTAAGTAAGTAATTCTGATTTTTGTGTGTCTGGAAAGTAGCAACATATGTGTCTAGGTGCATTTGTTCAGTGATACATGATACAGACATACAGTATTGGAGCATGAAGAATCTGAGAGATAGTATGATCTCCCAGAAACAGCCCAGTAGACCTGTAGACTGTAAATGTTTCTGCTTCTCCTCCCATCAGGATTCCTAAGCTTTGTTAGCAGGAACCCCAATGCCACTTCGACTGCTAATCCACTTGGTCCAGTCATTCCAGTCATCTACCATTTTCTGCCAATCAAATCCTGATGGATTGAAGAGCCAAGTGATAACCAAGAGCTATATTGATGATGTCAGAAGTATATAGGCAGATGAATCCGTAGCAACATCACCTTAAAACTGATAGACTACTAGCAGCAACATCAGCTCAAGTCCTTTCACAAAGTGGCTTCTGAAGTACATTCTGTATTTCTCAGTCAACCTTACATGGCGAACAAAAAAACATCTGCCAGTTGCTCTATATTTTGCACCACCATGGAGAATTGTGTGTCGAAAATAATGTGACTTGGTCCCAAGGTAGAAAGTGAAGAACACTGAACAGAGCTGAAGCGTCATGATTATGAAATCCCCCAGGGTGCTTCTGAAACCTCTTGCTAGTTCAGTCTTGGCTAAGGTCATCAAAAGATCTAGCTGCACAATTGACTGAGATCCCATAGCTTCTTGAATTGCACTATTCCCCCTCATCCATGCTTGCTTCATAATTGAAAACTCAGTCCACTATTAGCTAGGTAAAGTCTTCCAGATTCAGGACTATTTTTGAAGGAACTAAAAATAATGCTCCACCTGGAATCTGAAGAGGCTTACTAGATTAAAAAACCATGTCAAGGAACGCTTGATGCTACATCATGATTCACGGAAAAAGAAAACAAATATAACAGGGAGTCAGCCAAATCATCCTTATTTGATAAGATAAGGCAGATGGTATGATCAAACTACCTGTTCTACAAAGTGTCTGCCCTCTAAGAGAAGCCCAATGACGAAGCTGTAGGACGTTTTCCTCATTTGCCCCGACTTCACTTCCTCTTTTGGAATTAATTCTTCCCATGAAATTATTCCATCCATAGTCATCAGGAATCATAATTAAAGAAAGAGTGGAAAACTTGGTAACTTAATAACAAATAATTGAAGCATGAAGATTGAAGGGAAACAAAACAGAAAGGAAACCTGGAAAGAGATCTTTTGTAGATAGAATATAATTGTTCACCATCTTCATTCTCCAGATCAAGATCACTTTTGGAATATACTGTTTTTTCACTGTAGTAGGGAGTCATAATACTGCCAAGTACATAGAGTGACACTGACACACAATTATGTGGGCTTCAATCTTTTTTATTGAAATTCTTATTATAGTACACTTGAACATAACAGGGTTATGAGATATTACCATGGTGAATTAATTTTTTTTATCTTATCAAAGAATTCTTTCAATTTCCGTAGAGAATAGTATCTGATCCGAACAGAAGGGGCGGGAAACAACTGTAGCTCCCTGATTCCATACACAAGTTAGGCTGTGTTCTTCCCCAACCTTTCCCAACTCAACTCTCTCGTTTTCCGCGCACACGCTTCCCAAACTACTAAACGGTGCGTATTTTGAAAAAAAAAATTCTACAGGAAAGTTGCTTTAAAAAATCATATTAATCCATTTTTCAAGTTTATTTTAGCTAATACTTAATAAATCATGCACTGATCGTCGCTCCGTTTTGCGTGTTGGGAGTGAAGGTTCCCAACCCTCGCTCCCGAACTCAGCCTTAGAGCCTTATGAAAGAGGGAAGACTGTTATTAATAGCAACTTTTCTTCAGACAAAAAAAAACTGCTATTTGAGGGAATGCCGCATGGGCCCTATAACTTACTTTTCTATTTCCAACCAAAGCTAGAAAAGCAGCGCATCTATCCCGAGTTTTCCTTTGTCTATCCTGAGTTTTCGTGTCTAGCTTGCTTTCTCACTCCCCATAACGGCGTTCAAAGAAAATCTCATTCTGATCCTATAACTTATAACTAAGTAGTGTACTAAAGAGAAGACTAGGATGAGTAAGCCCTTACCTCAAGTCTATGTGTGGCAACTAGCTATATTACTATTTATTAGTCAGACTTTTTCTTGATGGGCCTATTGCCGCCTATTTAGGATAATAATAAAGTCTTCTACAATTATTGGCACATTGGCATATAGTTACTCCTATTAGTGAGAATTGTATTCGGAGGAGAGAACCTTGCGCTAAAAGGGCTTTGATTTATGGTATAGATTAGGAATTGGAATAAATAAGGCTAACTACAAGAGAGAAGAGGGTCTACAGCCATTCTATGTCAACACTGAAGAATAAGACATCTATCCTTACTCTTGCATCAACATAAGACAATCTTCAAGGGAGGAGAGTATATTGAATATGAGGCTGCCCTTTGGCAAACTCATAATAAGGCTGATGAAAGCGAAGCAGAATTGAAAACAAATATGGTACTCCCTCTGTTTCAAATTACTTGTTCTATATTTGTACTAAGTCAAACATTTTAATCTTTGACCATCAATTTCTATAAACTCATACTCCCTCCATTCCAAAATATAAGGCACAACCACCATTAACCCAAAGACCAAAAAATAATTATTATCATCTTATAGTTTAGATCATCCTAATAAATATAATGCATGCATCCGATAGGATTAGATAACATAGAGAGTGGAATATTTTAAAAAAGTAGTAATTTAATAGAGATATGTCATAGTTAATTGCATGCTTGCATGCATGCCTTATATTATGGAACATCTAAGAAAAGTGGTTCTGCCTTATATTATGGAATGGAGGGAGTATAGTTTAACATTATAAGATTTATATTTTTAGATTCACCATGAGAAATACTTCTATAATATATAATTCACATGTTAAACTACACAATTTTCTAAAAATTAATGGTCAAAGATAGACATGTTTGACTTAGGACAAACCTTGAAACGACAAATAATTTGAAACGGAGGGAGTACGCTGTTGATCCTTATAGCACATCTTGACTCTGACCATCTCTAAGGTCAACCTTATGGTTTGATGGAATAAGTCTTGTGGCTGATTAGTCTTTGCATCTTTTTACTTTTTCAGCTTTTAGGATGCTCTAGGCATAATCTTCGTTTTCACTTTCTGTTTTAGATGCTCTAGGACAGCATCTTCCTTTTTCACTTTCTAGGACAGCATCTAGACTAGCTCTAGGATGCTCTAGACTAGCTGCAGCCAGCCAGCTACCAGCTATAAATATGTATCCCACCCTCCCCCGAGATGGTATGGCATTCATGAGAAAATAAACAGAAAATTGCCCCAACTCTCCTAGCGCCATCCTCTCAATGAGAGTAAAGATTTTGCTACTAACAAGTGGTATCAGAGCCATTCTATCCTGTAGCCTAGACATCTCTTGCTCATCCCCTTCTTGAGCTCCCCTCTGTCCTCAGCCGGCAGCAGGAACACCGACTGTTCCTGCTCATCCCTTTTCCCCTGTGCTGACAAGCAGCAGCTCATCAGAGGCAGCCTCTTCCCCACGTAGCAGCCTCCCAGTAGCGTGCCATGTCCGTAGGACAGTCTCAGCGCTCGGTCGCCTCGAGCGCGCGGCTCCGGCAGGAGGCCGAGCTCGCCGCGGTAGGGGAACACGAGCGAGCGGCGGCAGAGACTTCTGCGATGGTAGCGAGAGCATCAAGGCTGGTGGCGGCGGAATTGGCGGCGGCAAGGGTAGAAGTGGAAGCAGCGGCAGCGGCAGATGCAGCGCGTGCGGCGGCGGCAGAGCTCAAGGCTTTGCGCGACAGTAGCACCAATAGCTCTGTCTCCGCCTCCGACAACACCGATGATGAGCTGACGAGGGAGGCAGCTCGTGAGCGGGCGGAGCAGTGGGCAGCTGCGCATGCAGGGCCGGCCCTGGCGGGGGGCGAGCGGTGCCGCCGATCTGGGCCCCCAGATTGCAGGGGCCCCCACCCACCTCCCCCACCCCCCTCCCTCCCGCGTCCCTGGGCCACAGATCGAGCGCATGCATGCGCGGAAGCCGGAAAGCGAAGCGCCCCGCGGTGAAAAGAAAACAGAAACGCGCGTGATAGCCGCCGCCCACATCCCCTCCTCTACTCTTCACGCGCACGCGCTCAGCGATCGGCGACCGGGCGATGGCGAATTGGCGAAAAGCCAAAAATCAAAACTGCATCGCGTGTCGCCGGCGGCCGGTGCCAACGTAATTCACTCCATGGCCATCACCAGCTGCTCGGCACCGACGCAATCTCCCTGGTTGCTGCTGCCAGCTGCTCAGCGACGACGCAATCTACTGCGTCGCTGCTGCTCGGCATCTCCTAAGCCTCCATCGCCTGCCTTCCCCTCGGAAGGTTAGTAATCAGCACACCAATACACCATCTCCGTAGCCCAATTATTAATTTAATTACTGCTGTCTAATCTCTCGATATCAAAACATAAACATATGTAGGTCATCTCGACGCATGGCGTCGCGGGCATTAGCGCTTAATTGTTTGTTTTGTAGTAGTATGTTAAGGGCCCCAACATTTAGTTTCGCACTGGGGCCCTGAAAACTCAGGACCGGCCCTGCGCGCATGGAGAGAGATGTATGTGGCTCCTCACATACAAACTGAATCTGAGAGACGTGCTCAATCATCCGCATCAGGTGAGGAGCATATGGAAGCCCCCTCCTGTACTGAAGAGATGCCATGCGGATTTCCTCCCAAACAAATTGAAATACATGAAAAGGGACGACAGGGAGGATTGAACCTGAGGAGTACGGAGCGGGAGTAATGGTTGATGTTGTTTGCATCACCATCCTTGGGAGTCAGAGTCCGCCTCAAGATGCGGTCATGGCATCTCTTCAGTACAGGAGGGGGCTTCCATATGCTCCTCACCTGATGCGGATGATTGAGCACGTCTCTCAGATTCAGTTTGTATGTGAGGAGCCACATACATCTCTCTCCCTGCGCTTACCCAAGCGTTGTTCTGTGCCTCAGGACATCCCCTCCACATCCTCTCAGCCTCCTACTACCTCGTGAGCGTCCCTCTCTTGTGGCTCGTTGTGAGCAGTCTCCCTTATTCCGCATTTTGCTGAGTCTCTTTGGCCTTTGCTCTGCGGAGGCCAAAAAGAACCGCAGAGCGTGGAACGAGGTCAAGAAGACGGCTCGGCGCGTCAAGAACATGTAGGCGCAGCTCAATGAGCATTTTCACGTGGATGTCTCTCCCTCCCCTTCGGGCTTTGAGGCCGAGCCCGATGAGCATGGGTAGGAAGAGATCGAGGATCCTTTTGCTGGGATGCCTCCGGATTACGATTTCTTCAATTTTGGCCATGGCTTTCGCTATCCTCCTCTTGAGGATCCTCCCAGGCGCCGTTTGTCTGAGTTTCTCTCTTCGTCCTCTCTTTTTGGTGCTTCGATGCCAAAAAGGGAGAATATCTATCCTTTTATTATGGTCGATCATAGTTGGTTTTTCTTTGTATAAGACTATGTGTGGTTCTTGAGTTAGTTTAATGTTATTGTAAGACCTTATTGTTTAATTATGGATGTTTGGAATGTAATGGATATTATTATGCTTTATGATTAATGTGATGCAATGTCTCATTTCCTTTATATTGTGCTTGTGATGAGATGTAATGGTTATTATGCATATGAAGTGATGTATGTGATGAGTAAAATGTGATATATTTGTTGTCTTGTGAGATTCAATGTGGATGCAAAGATTTACGGGGAGCTCTTCACTTGCTTTAATGCACACTTTGAGGGGGAGCTTTCACTAAACCTTTGCACCAAAATCATCTATTATATTCATTCTCTCTTGTGATCTAATCGTATTGTCATCAATCAGCAAAAATGGAGAGATTGGAAGTGCATCTAGGCCCCTAATGATTTTGATGATTGATTACAATACGATTAGAGAGGACTAACTTTTTATTCAAGCAAATGTGAAGGTTGTTATTTCCTCGACGTGTTGTAATGTGATGCATACTAGTAGCCAAGTCCAATTACATGTATTATCAGTAAGAGTACATTATAATATAAAGATAAGAAATATTTGAAAATAAAAAACCTCATTGGCAATTAGAAAAAACCAATTACTCTTAATTTTTATCCTAAAAATGCCTAGACAACATACCTATATTGGAATAATATATCCAGATAATCTGTAGACAGTATACCCATATTTGAATAAAATGATAACAAAGTATATCACATACCTAATACATATTAATATTCTTGAAAGTTTTAGGATAATTAGTAATTCCTAAGAAATATCATTGCTTGAGTTTTCGCTAACTCTGTTTTATCATTGGAAAAAGTACGAATTACCCCCTGAACTATCGCGGTCAATCGAATTACCCCCCTGAACCCAAAAACCAGACATTACTCACCCCCAACTTTTAATACCGGACGAATTACCCCCCTCAACACAGTTTTGAGCGGTTTTCACTTGAGTTTGCACACGTGGCGTCTACGTGGCAATCCAGTCAGCAAATAAAAATAAAAATGCCTTCCTTGGTCCCACCTGTCATACCCCTCTCTCTCCCGTGTGCACGCTCAGGCAGGCGGCTCCGCAGGTAGGCAATGGCGGCCGACGACGGAGGCGAAGGCCGACTAGGCGCCGGCATGGTCCCGTTCATGCGACTGCCTCCTCACGACCACTCGCGCATCGGCTCGCCGCCGCGGCTCCTGACAGTGGGGAGATGGTTGCGGGAGTCGTAGAAAGGGCCGCGTCGGCGCCGCGGCGCACGTCTCCGTGGAGCTCGTCATGGGCTACGTCGGCAACATCCCCGGCCTGCCCTACGAGAGCCTGGCCATCGCTGACCCGCTCTCCCCCGACGCCGTCC